TCTCATTTTTCCAAGAGTTTTTTCGGCAGTTTAGAGATGAGCGAAAATGGAGAAATGGTTGAGAAAGGTTTCCGAATTTTCATCCGTTTTTCCTCTTTTCTCTCATGAATGGATTTTCACTATTCCAACCATTTTGCGAACTGTTTAGAATGGAGACAGTAGTGGTGCAAATTTTCCGAATTTTCTTTAGCTTTTCCTCTTTTATTACCTGAATGAATGCTCAGTATTTAATCATTACAACAATTTTCAAGCTGTTTTGTTTTGGTGAAAATGTGTAAAAAGTGAAAATTTTTATGAATTTTATTTCCTATTCCTTTTTGAACTCGCGAACGAAGGGTCGGTTTTCAGTTCTCTTACAATTTTTCGGCAATGTTTAGGTAGGCGAAAATGGAAAGATGGTGTAGATAATATTTCGAATTTTCATTCGCTTTTCCTCTTTTAAAACAATTTTTGAACGGTCAAGCGAGGCAAAAATTTCTTCGAGAAATTCGCGAAATTGTTTGAGTTGCGAAAAACGAATATAAGCTACGTTCCTCCCTAAAAAATTATTTACTCTGGAAACAAGACTGATTTTTAATAAATATTATATTTGGTTGATAGCTACAGTATTAGTATAATTTGGACCAAACTATGTGGGGGTACATATTTTTTTTATGGAGAAACTAAATTTATGTTCGTTTTTCGCACAACAAAAACCCTACAAATTTGTTTAGCAATTGGAATTAATTCGAAACGAGAGGGCCCCGAAACATGTGGTTTTCCCCAACCACACTACTTCCAAGTAAATTTCTACAGAGATCCCCAATAAGGCGAGATGGAATCGTAGCGAGAGGGAGACTCGAACTCGAAGCGAGACGACTTGAACAAGAAGCGAGATGGAATCGAACTGTGCGACAAGTGCCTCCCCAACGGAGCGAGAAAAATCGAGAGAGCTAGGCGCGGTGCCCCAACAACACTACTTCCCAGTCAATTCCTATATATCTCCTCAACGAGAGAGTAGAAATTCAAGCGAGATAGCAGTGAACTGTTTAAGCGAGAAAATTCGAGCTTGACGCATGAATTACTTTATAAAAAAAATTATGGCCGTATTATTAATAATAAAAACTGATTCTTGTTTCTGTTTCTTTGATTATTTCTATAGTATAAGTGACATTTTATTTAGGACTTCTTTATAGTGTAAAAATTTTTCCGAATTTTCGTTCGCTTTTCCTCATTTATGTTCGAAATGAGTGCACGGATTTTCAATGTCCTAATTTCTAAAGATAGGCCAATGAAAACAGTATTGGTGAAAATTATGCGAAGTTTCATTCGCTTTTCCTCATTTATTTCTAAAATGACTACTCGAATTATCTTTTTTCCAAAACATTTTCAGCAATGTAGATGTAGACAAAAATAGGGAAATCCTGTAGAAAATTTTCCAAATTTTCCTTCGCTTTTCCTCTTTTATCTCCTAAATGAGCGCTAGGATTTTTAATGTTTCAAACATGTTTCTAATTTTTAAGGATAGGCCAATAAAAACCGTATTGGTGAAAATTATTCCAATTTTTATTCACTTTTCCTCATTTATCTTCTGAATGAGTGCACGGATTTTCACTGTTCCAAACATTTTCCCAATTTTTAAAGGTAAGCCAATGCAAGCAGTATTGGAGAAAATTATCAGATTTTTTCAGAATTCAGAAAAGTTTTGCACTTGTTTCCCATTTTCGCCCAACTCTAAACAATTGGAAAATTGTTGGTACGATGAAAAACCTAGCGTCCATTCACATAATAGAAGAGGAAAAATAAAAGAAAATTCGGAAAATTTGTATCAATAATGTTTCCATTCCTCTTCCTCTTAACGAAATGATTGGAATTGTGAAAATCCGAGCACTAATTCAAGAGATAAAAGAGGAAAAGCGAAAGAAAATTCGAAAAATTCTCTACACTATATCTTCATTTTCGTCTACTTTTACATTGGCGGAAAATGGTTAGACCACGAGAAAACCGAACCTTCATTCCCGAGATAAAAGGAGAAAAGCGAATGAAAATTAGGAAAAGTTTTGCACTTGTTCCCCATTTTCGCACAACTCAAAACAATTGGAAAATTGTTGGGACGATGAAAAATCGAGCGTCCATTCACGTAATAAAAGAGGAAGAACGAAAGAAAATTCGGAAAATTTGTACCACTATGTTTCCATTCCCCTTCCTCTTAACGGAATCGATTGGAATTGTGAAAATCCTAGCAACCATTCGGAAGATAAAAGCGAATGAAAATTTGGAAAATTTTCTACTCTATTTTCTTATTTTCGTCTACTTCTGCATTGCCTAAAAATTGTTTTAACAGTAAAAAACAAAGTCTTCATTCCCGATATTAAAAAGTATTAATATGCATATATATTGTAGCTAAAATCGCATAAGTCGCACAGTTCGACTGTATCTCGATTCTTTGCGTTGGCGAATTAAGCGAGATTTGACGAGTTTGACGCAAAGTTCTCCTCGATTTTTCTCGCCTCGTGAGCGGAGGGCCTAAGTGGTTCTTGAAGTCCTATTAAATATAGTTACACGAACAAGAATACTTTAAGAGATAGTTTTTAATATTTTTTTTCTGTAAAACATGGTTACATTTAACCATATTGGGGGGGGGACTTCAGCCCGAAAGCACCTCCGTTGATCCGCCTGTGGCTGGCGATCAAGTTCTCGATTAACTTCCGTATTATCTCCTCTTCATACCGTTTACTAATTAAAAATAATAACTTGAAGGCTGTCTTGAATATGTTGTGATCAGTTTAGTCATAGAAAATTAGTTAAAATGTAAGAAAAAATATTTAAAAATGTTAAAAATATGGGGAAACACTCATAGGGAGTGTAGTAGTTCTAATCAGAAAGATTCTTTCCTCTAAGGGGGCCATATCTCTATTAAGGGGCCATTTCTCCTCCCTCCAAAAAGAACTCATAAAATATTCTTCATATATTTCTGCACAAAAAAGGTCCTATGTGCATGGAGAAGAACGATTTTAAAATTATAAGAATTGAAAGAAAAATACATGACTACTGTTACAAAAGTTGAACTTTGTTTACATCCTTGGGTAATATTTAGACAATCCTTACCACTATCAGGTTATTTTCTTTACATGTCAGAATATTAATCTCAATTAGTTTGTATTTTTCTTTCACTCAGTTAACATGGAGTGGGGTGATAAAGAAAACCGTATAGCTGTGATCTCCTTACACAAAGTTGGAAAATGTAGATCAGAGATTTAAAACACTTTGAAAACTGAGGGTATCAGCCGTATGTTTGTGTACCGCACTATAAATACACTGACAGGCAAAAAATTCCACCCACTTGATTTTTTCATGTTTTCATCTAAAAATATTTCTGCTTTGGATTGATCTATTGTTTTTAATGAGTAAACAGGTAATCTTTTTGTTTGTTTTCAATTAGGAATGTTAATATAGAGGACAATAACCCTTAATCCTTAATTCAATGAAATAATTCTAGATTCCAATGTTTACTTTCTATGGAATCAAACCGTTTATTCAGTATCATTAGTTCAGTGCCGTTTCTTGCAGCACATTTCTAAGTCTCCGGCTTTTAATTTTTTCAATATTAAGTTTAAAAATGCCTCTTGGTGCTGAGGATGTTGCGCATGGTGTGGCACTTGATGATGAACGTTCCATTAGATATGCAGCTAATGCCATCGGAGTTCCATATGAAACCTTACGAGACGCCGTCAGGCGTTTTCGGGAAACTGGTTCTTACAATAGAAGGCCCGGTTCTGGGCGGCCTAGGGTAACAGAACCACGGGATGACCGGTATTTGACTTTGAGAATTTTACGAAACCGGCACCTTACCGTTGTTCAAGCGATTCATCAGCTCAAAGAAGTTCGAGGTGTGCAAATTTCTGAACGTACCGCTCGGAGAAGATTAAATGAGTATGGATTAATGGCTTTTCGTCCAGTAAGAGGACCAGAGTTGACCAGAACTCACAGAATAACACGGCTGGCTTTTTCTCGAGAACACAGCCATTGGATTATGGACGAATGGAATGCTGTACTTTTTACAGATGAGTCAAGATTCGCTCTTCGATCTCCAGACGGGCGTGAAAGGGTGTGGAGAAGAAGAAACGAAAGATATGCAGCCTGTAATTTTTCCCAGAGCCAACCTTTCCAACGTGGTTCCTTAATGGTGTGGGCTGGGATTTCAATGCACAGAATTGGTTGTTGTTCGTGTAGGGTCTTTGACGTTCATTCGCTATGTAGATGAGATTTTGGAACCTCATGTGTTGCCTATCCTCAACGAAATCGGCGATCGTTCTATTCTAATGCACGCCCACATGTCTCCCGCATAGTGCAGACGTTCCTTCAACAGAAAAATATTGAGGTTTTAGCCTGGCCAGCACGTTCTACAGATTTGAACACCATTGAGTATTTATGGGATAACTTCGGAAGACGAATAAGAGCGTGTGCAACACTTCCTGATACACTGCAGGACCTTCAAACGGCTCTTCGGGAGGAATGGGCTATCCTCCAGCAAAGGGACATTTCCCGACTGGTGGAAAGTATGCCGAGGCGTCTTCAAGAAGTAGTGAAGGCAAGAGGAGGAAACACGCGCTACTAAACGATGATTTAATTTCTTTTAGAATAATAATGGTTCGTTGTTCAATTTTTTTTTCTCTAATCTTTCTTACCCAATCACATTTTGATTATTAAAGGTAAAAAAGATTATAAAATTCCATAAATACTAAGTATTATCTACGAATACCATGTATTATATATTATTAAACAATAGACCAATCCAATGCAGAAATATTTTTAGATGAAACCATGAAAAAATCAAGTGGGTGGAATTTTTCGCCTGTCAGTGTAGATATAATGAGACTATCTGTATGTGATAGACCTCGCCGGGGCCGTCTCCGCTCTGCGAAAACGACAAATGCAGTGAGAGCAATGGTTGCTCGAATCAGAAGAAATTTCATTCGAAAAAACAAATCATGTCTTGGGAAATGGGAATCTCTGGCAGATCAATGTCTCGCATAATTAAAAGTGACCTTAGGATGGTTGTATTTCGAAGGATGATTTGACAAAGGTTAACCACTTCCCTAAAAAAATTAGAATGGATAGATTCGATGTGCTCAATACATTCAATGGTCTACATAGAAAGATTTTGTTTAGTAATGAGAAAATTTTTACAATTGAAGAAAAATTTAATCTTGTGTACGCACACAGCTCTAAAGAAGCCCAGGAAGTAATTGGAAGAGTGGAAAGAGTTCATCGCCCTTCCTCAGTAATGGTTTGGTGGGGAGTTTATTTTGATGGCACCACAAAGTTCCATTTTTGTGAAAAAGGAGTTACAACAGCCGCTAAACACTATCAGGACGACATTTTGGAGCTTGTTGTCAAGCCTATAAATGATACTCTGTTTGCTGGAAGTTATTGGGTTTTCCAGCAGGATTCCGCTCCAGCTTACAAGGCCCAGTTAACTAAGCATTGGCTGCAAAAGATCATTCCTGAGGTCATCTCTGGGTTGGCCCTCAACACAGGCGGATCTAGGGGGAGGCTTTGGGCCTGAAGCCCCCCCCCACCAAAACGGTAAAATATAACCATGTTTTATAGAAAAAAGTGTTAAAAACTATCTCTTAAAGTATTATTGTTCGTGTAATTACATTTAATAGGACTTCATTAATAACTTAAACACCATTTCATATAAGTAGTTCGTTTCCTCTTTTTTTTTTCAAATTAATTATCGTTGTATATATGAAAAAAAAATCTTTCAGGCTGAAGTCCCCCTCCCCCCAAAAAATTAAATCCTGGATCCGCTAGTGATCCTCAGGAAGTCCTGATCTCAACCCACTAGATTATTGGTTTTGGTCCGAACTGAAGAGGATGGCATGCCACTAAGCACACCCTAACTTGGAAAGCCTCAAACAATCTGGTCGGAGCATTTGAGCGCTTTCCTCAAGAAGTGCAGCATGCTGTTATTGATGACTGGCCACGAAGATTAAATGCCTGTGTCAAGGTAAAAGGGGAAACTTTTCAGTAATTTCTTTCTTATTTTACTCTCTATAGATATACATTTTATTTTCTAATAAAGTTTTTGAAAAAATTAATTTTTCTGTTGAAATATTTGTAACAATATTTATGACAGAACTAGATTAAATGTAACAGATTATATTTTATAGACTATGTAAAATTAATTATTGTAACAACAAATTCTAACTATTCGAACCTCTCCCTCCTCTCTACGGTCAATAATGTCCTGCTTTATGGATATTTAAATCTGGTCATCTTAAGTTAGAGTAAACTTAACATTCATAAATATGTGAAATGACAAATATATGATATACAAATAAAGGAACTATAAAGTAACGTAACAAAGCTGGGAGTTATAAAATAGCGGTAGCAAAGTTAGAATATATATGAGACAACGGTAACAAAGTTAGAGACTTATGAAATAATGGAACGAACTTAGAAAGTTATACAATAAAGGTATTAAAGTGGTAAAGTTTATAATAATAAAATAATGGTAAGCTTTAATAGAAGCTTATAAAAATGAACTCAAATGAACTAATCTGAAGTTATTTAGTTTGCTCAAGCACCCTTCGGAATTCGACCATTGAAAAAGATCCTCTTTGGATTTTATGGTTGTCTACTGTTTACCTCTAGGTTTGAATCTTTGTTCTGTTGCCATACTAGAATGTGCTTTGTGAGTGTGACGGTCGTTGTCAATTTTGAAGGTTTTTCTATTGGTAAGTTATCTTGAGTTACATCATTTTCTCAATAACTAGTTGTCATTTCATTAATATTCCTGTGTGCTATTTTTATTCCATTTCAATATAATGTCATACTGTGATTCTTCGTGGCTACTGTTTTATTCTGCTTCTTAAAACTATTAGTATTTTGAATAAGTGGTGATTATTTATTTTTGCAGTCTATAGACCATTTTATAAAATTGTCTAGTTGTATCATTCGTATTTTGACTTTTATTGAATCACATCATCACACTGTTTGGAAATAATTTCTAAACAATATTATGAATAGAATCACTGGTTGATAGGTGAGCTTAGGTAATGGTTTGCCAATTAGACAAAGGAACCATATTTGTTTCAATATTACATTATTTAAGTTTATTCCAGGAAGTCCACTAAGTGAAATTTCATAAAATGCAGTCACATAATAATAATTGGATGAATTTGCTTTCTGTGGGATTAAAACTTTATCCACTGTGTAACTATTTATAAAAGGGTTAGTGTATTTTTTATTCTTCGATAAATAACGTCAAAATTCACAAAATTTTTCTTGAAGTTAAACTCTTTTAAACATGTGATTTTTTGCAATAAATTGAGTGTATATTTTTTACTTTCCTACCTATACTAGGTAAGGAAAGTATTGCAATCTTAAACATGTGTTTTTTTGCAATAAATCGAGTGTGTATTTTTTACTTTCCTACCTATACTAGGTAAGGAAAGTATTGCATGTGGTTTTCGACGGATCTATACGTTTCAGAGCCCCCTGAGTCCGAAAAACACATTTTTAGCCATTGGTCTGTCTGTGCCAAGATTTTCTCGGGAACTACTGAACCGATTTTATTGCTTCTTTTTTATTTTGTAGGATTTTGACTACTGATGCCTGTGACAGAAATTCGGTGCTCCATGCGCAATAGCTTGCGCAAAATAAATGATAAACATGTTTTTCTATAGACTGTAGCGCCAAAACGGCTCTAACGATTTTGATAAAAATTTCCTATAATGTTCTAATTATTGTTCTTTCAATTTTCGTATATAGACTAAATTCCCAGAAAAATTCAGGAAAAAAAGTTATAAAGAAAAGAAAAATGTATTGGGGCCTAACTCCCTAAGTATATATTATACTGTGAAATTTATAATAAAACTTTTGAAAGGTAATTGAATTACCAAAAAAAAAAAAATCATTGGAATCGAAGCAGTATTAACGAAGTTACAGATATTCAATTTCCAAAGTAAGATCACGGTTTCATATCCTGGTGTTAGAAAGGGGTGAATGTGAGTATAAAGATAAAGTGAAAGTAAGTAAATCTGTTGCCTGAATCACACAATCTTCACTATTTCCTCTGCTTTTAACAGAAATTATTGTTTGACAATACTAAGCTATGCCAAAAAGTTTTTGATCAGCAATATTAGGAAGTATTAAAATTTTTACACTGATCTACCTTAAGCCGGTTTGTATTGCTTTAGTTTAACAAATAAATCGTACTCAGATCTTATGTTTGATCAATTTCCAGGAAAATGTGTCTAGTTCTATTCTTTTTTGTTTCTTTATGAACTTATGTAAAGATATAAAAACTTTTCTGAAATAGGTAGGAAAGTCGTGTGAGTGGACACACCAGATTTTTGTTTTATTTACTATGTGTATTTTTAGTTTTCAAATAATTCAAATTAACTTTTGGATTAAAGTTTTATTGAAAAAAAATATTGTATACGACAATTAATTAATTTAAGAAAAATATGTTCTGGATGGCACATCAATCAATAATCAATTTTAAAAACATCAAAATGGACTATAAAAATTTATTACAGAAATATATATTTTTTCAACACCTGTTATGGTAACGTTGGTCACTATAGCCTGCAAAATCAAGGGATGATTAGGCTGATCCTTTATTGTTCCTTCTCATTGGATTCGGTCATTACCCTAGTTAACGTGAATTCCACACTGCTTTGGAATCCACTGAAATGGAAAAGATTTCTCTATTGATTTTTTTTACCATCTCGAATTATTAGTTAACGAATTTCCTCCTAATTAGGTTATACAGTTAATTTCTGCCTGCTCATAGCTGAAAATGTCTAGAATGCTAGAAACCACAGGAGCAAAGAAAGAAAAGGCCAAATGTTCTCTTGTTAATAATCCTTTTTTAAGTAGAGGTAACCTTTAAGACAAACAAAAATTGTGGTAAAGCTTTGTCTTTCCGACGATGTTAGTTCAGGAAGAAATGAAATGATTAACTTGTTTGTGGCCATTATCGTTTTCTTTCTGGCATTCAGCAGATACGCCTTTGGGAGAAGGCCGCTAGCTAGGATTGGGTTGCTCTGCAATTCACAGATGTGTTTTTCCGGGTCAGTGATATTGAAGTATGTACTTTTAATTGTTAACTATTGTTGAAATCAGTACTGTTGTCTTCATTTTTTAGAGGAAATAATTTTTAAATTTGATTAATTATTTAAATAACTTTTTTGGTATAGTCTTTAGATTGATGGATTCTAATTTAAAAAAGCTGTTATAACCAATTATTAATAATTACTTTTTACTGAAAAATATATTTCATTATTTATAGGATAACAATTTTAATATTCCATAGTTACTAATTTTCTTGCTTCAATTTCCTAACTATCCGATGTTCTTAGTATATATTGTTTCTTACTTTTATTATATGTTCTTATCGATGATCTTCAATAGTGCACATGGATTGATGATTTTTTAATGTATTATTAATTAGAAAAAATTAAATAGCACTCCTTGTCTTGTTTAATTTCTGAATTAATTTATGAATCAGGGTACTTATATTTCTGGCTGACCATTAAACTCCACCTTAAACCAGGGATGCTACTTTATGGTCTTACAATGACGCTTTCTAATTCTGTTTACTACCAATAATTTATTTTTCTCCTATGAAAAATATCCTCTTTCAATTGTTAAAAAGTAGATATTAAGAATTAATATACATTTATTTATAAACCAGAATATAAACAAATAAATTAATCCTCTTTTGACCTTACTTAATGTTGTTGATATTGGTCACCGTTTATTTTATAGAATTTTATACTTTATTAAAACAACTTTTTGTTGATTTCATAAAAATAGCAATATAAAAGGAATATTTTTTTTCATACAATGCCACCACTATATCAGTACAACAATTTTGAAAAAAATAATTTTTGGCATTAATTAGTTTTTAATTTACTTGAAGTATTTTTTGAAAAATAAATTCTTATGAAAACGAATCTAGGACTCAGAGGTAAAAATGCCCATTGTTGAAAAAAAAAAAAAAAGTTAAAAGTAAAACATAGAGTTGTTTTTTGGAATATATAGCTATATCATATTTGTTGCTTAATGTAGTATTTAGTTTTGGTTAATTAATAAAAATAGAATCTGCTAAAACATTTTGTTAGCAATTAAAAGATTTTTATTGTTTTAGTTTTTTTTTTTTTTTTTTATTGTCGGCCCAAGACTTCCATTTAAGTCCTATATTGCTTGTTTTGTTTATATATATATATATATATATATATATATATATATATATATATATATATATATATATATATATATATATATATATATTTTTTTTTATAAATTAGCTGTAATAAATATTTTTCTTCTTAGTTATAAAAATTATTTTTTGTTTTTCAGATGGTAAGCATTTGTAGAAACATTAATTATAATCATGGCTGAGACACTTAAAAATGGGTTTTCAGTTGTCACTCTCAAGAAATTACTATCACAAAACTCTGAAAAGTTCTCAGAAGACTTTGCAAGGTGTATAAAAGACTCTTATAAGATGAAAAAAATAGAAGAAATCATTACATCTCGATTAGAGCCAAAAGACTTGATGGTTGTATTAGCATTGCTTACAAGAATTCCTTGGTCAATTTTTAATTCTGCTAAAACCAACATATTAACTCTTCTTACTGCTGATGAATTCTATGATAGTTTAATAAGATACGTGTTGAACAATATTGAAAATAATTGTTATAACAGTGATGAATATATGGCTCTAGTAAGGTTCTACGAAATTCTTGTTACCTACTTACCCATTTGTGAAGATACATATGAAAAATTTTTGACCTTATTTGAAATGACTTATAAGTGCTTGGAAAATTTTGTTTTAAAATCACCCTGTGAAAAGCTGTTATATGAAAGATTAGAGGAGTTAGTAAAATTGTTAATTTTTAAGGCATACTACCGTGAAAGAAATAAGTGGCATTATTCTTACATGAATATATACCCAAGTCCTGTTGATTTCTTTGAAAACAGAAATTTGAAGCCTAACATTATCCAAGGATCTTATGATAGCACGGATCATTATTTGGATCTTCATTTCAAAATTCTAAAAGAAGATTTTGTTTGTGCAGTTAGACAGGGAATAGAGCAATATAGGTCAGAGATATTCGGAGGGAAAGTGAAGAGAAATTCTTTACTACATTTGTATAAAAATGTTTCTTCTATTGGGATATCAATAGACAAATATAATCTGAAATCAAAAATTTACCATCATATAATTTTTTCCGATGAAGATAAAATAGCACTGCAAGAAGATAATTTTCAAGTTACAAAAAAATTTATGACCGGTTCTTTGCTATTTTTCACACGCAATGATTTCACAACATTTGTTGTAGCGACAGTAGAAGATAATGGCGAAAGAAATGATTGTGTCAATAAACAATTCAATGGCATCAAGGTGTCTGTCATAGGAAATCCTTATCAATTGAAAATTGGCAAGCAGTACAATATGATTGAGCCTGTAACGTTCTTTGAACCCTATTACCAATCGTTAAAAACTCTCCAAACAATGGATCCCATCTATTTTCCTTTAAAGGACAACATTGTTTTTGCCAATATGAAACCAATATCATCCGGCATCAAATTTTCAATTGCTGACAAAGACAAGCTGAATCCATCTCAAATAGTTGCTCTAGAAGCTGCTCTTTCTCAAAAATTCACTATAATCCAAGGCCCTCCTGGAACTGGGAAGTCTTACTTAGCTAGGTTAATAATCAACACGCTCATAAAAAGCCGTGATCCTGCTAATTATCCCATCTTGGTTATCTGTGTTAGAAATAACGCATTAGATCTTGTCTTAGAGCCATTGGTCAGTTCGAATGTGAAAATAGTTCGTTTAGGAAGCCAAAGCAAGAGTGAAATATTAACAGAAATGACCCTGCAAAAACTAAGAAAAGAATGGATGGTGTCTTGTGGTTCCAAACAGTTACTTCTTTCTAAAATCAACCAGTACAGAAAGATTATTCTAGATCCGAAAAATGTAAATCGTCCTGATTCTATTGAAACTGCTGTGCAAGGTTATTCAGCCGCTTCTGATTCATTAAATAGTCTCCTGCAGTATTATGACGCCAGGCAGATTTTGTCAAGCGGAGTGCATGTAATTGGAGCAACAACAGCAGGTGCAGCTAGATACCGCAAGATGCTGTCCTTCATAAAACCGAGAGTTGGTATGTTCATTTTAATATAATACTTTTTTTGTATCATCTATTTTCTGCCATTTTAGTAATTATATTCATAAATCTAGGGTTAAATATACTTCAACAGATTTGAAAGAATTCAAACCTTCCATGGGATATTCCGATGCATTTGTAACTCAGTATGAGGATTTCCACTTTGGTGAAAAAGTCCCCTTTTTAGATAAATTCCAATGTTAGGAAGAGGAAAAAAGAGAAACAATCAATCAAAACCTAATCTGAGGACAGTTTAATCTATTTTTTCAATAATATAAGTAAAACAGACATAAAGCGAGTAGTTACATATTATTATTATTTTAAATATATATGGGCAGAAGATAAAAATCCCTTCTGCCCATATATATTTAAAATAATATGTTTGCTCTAAGGGAAAAAATGAGAAAATTTGACTAACCAAAATGGGAATTTAAAAAACTATGGTGGAAACACTGCACAGTAAACACACAAAAAAGGGAAATATCTGAATCGTGGTGCAAATCTTACAAACTCACACCTGATCATAAAAACCACTATACTGCGATGGTACACTTACATTTTGCCTTTTTCTTTTTTTCAGGAAACCACTTCCTATGTTACAGTTATGATAAAATCAATTTTTTAAAAATTGTTATCAATATTTACCTAATATTCATCAAAAATTATTTTTTTTGAAAATTCCAAGCCAGTTTATCCAAAATATATTATCAGAATAATTAGACAAAAATTCTATATTTTGGATAAACTGGCTTGGAATTTATATAAATATGTATTGCCGTGGGACGACCCTGGGATATGAGACCCTCCTGGGGCTTACCCAGCCTCTATAAAGTGCATACCCTTAATTAGATAATTAAGGTGGAAAACCTGGCTGATGAACATGATTTCGGTCAAATCATCTTGCACAACCATTGATCAAGAAACAGTATTTTTCCTAAATAATGCTGCATTCTTTATGGGTTTATGGGTACTGGTTTATATATATATATACAACTTTTCTTTAATCGACCTTTGAGTATTAAATTTAAACATAACCATTTAAATGGGAATAAGGTCACTTATTAATTATTTAATAAACTACTAAATATTCATTTCCTTTGTGTTTATTGACGTTTCGATCCCGATATTTTTCTTTTTATAAGTTAACAATGGGATCCTCTTCAAAGTTTTAATAATAGAGCTTCGATACCTCAGGCGACAGTCTCAGTTTGACACACCGACAGTCTCAGCACTGTCCACTTGCACATATATTAAGCTACTGTACTTTCAACAACTCTGGGAATGGGAAAAAAATAATATATTTCAGAAATCTCAAAACACTCATAATCGTATTAAAGTGGTTCTAAACAAATACAAAATATGCTCCCCCCTCTCTCCCTTCAAAGACCTTTGTTTTAGTGCACTTATCTGTTACATTTAGTAAAAATAAGACTAAAAACAACCATAAATTTAATGTTTTATTATTAACTTATACAATTATTATTTTATACTATATTTTTATATAACCATTTCAATTCAACATAAAATTAATGCAAATACTTTGAACTTTCAGTTATAATAGAAGAAGCTGCTGAAGTGATGGAACCATTAATCATATCATCAATTCCAGAAAAATGTGATCATGTTATTCTAATAGGTAAATTACAAAAAATTAAACATCTTTAATTTTTTATATTATCACTTATTACTTTCTTTCGCTATTGATGAACCATTTCAATATTTGATAATGTGATTACAGGCGATCATTTGCAGTTGCAACCTACCCCAGCGTGGCATCCATCAACGAGCAAATACAAGATGGATGTCTCTCTATTTGAAAGAATGATCAACAATGGAATGGAGTACTATCAATTGAAAGAGCAGCATCGTATGAGGCCTGAAATAGCATCGCTCATATCTCCTTTAGTTTATCCAGATTTATTAAATCATCCATCTGTTTGCAACTATCCAGATGTTCGAGGAATGGCAAAAAATTTATTTTTTGTCGATCATAACATCAGAGAAGATAGAATAGTAATTTAATATTTCCTTAATAATTATTTATTTTATATATTGTAGATTATTGTATTCCATGAATACAGTACTAAACTAACCCAAGTAAATTTTTTATTAAAATCAAAAAAAAAAAAAAAATTAGGGTTGTAAACAAACATTTAAGTTCCATGTACTTCACACAGTTGGTTTGGCTGATTTTTAAAGCATTTTTATAAATATCTGTTGCCGTCAGAGTATTTATATAATTTTTGTTTTCCATATTTTTGTCAAATGAATTAATTTAAATTTTTGGAAAAAAATTATTTTAAGTAATTATTGTTATTACCAGAATAAGCACGTTAATGACTAAATGACTGGAGAGACAAAATTAATTAATTTTTAAACAGTTTTAAAGATAGTAAATGCAATACGACTGTGTAATAGTTTCTGTAGTTAAGTTGGCCTTTGTAGAAATATTTTTATATATTTAATATACATAAATAGATATGCAAATTTAATATTTTTCTTTAAAAAAAAAAAGTTATCTCTTTTACTTTTACTTACCTATATATGAAATATACAGTAAGGGTAAGTGTTGTGGTCATTAAAATTTTCGAATCAGAGTTTTCAACGGAAATACATGTTTTGAGGTCTCCTGATTCAATATAACCAAGTCCTGCAAAATGGTGCGTACGTACGTGTGTGTTCGCAGTCTAGCTGAAAAACGAAAATTCATATGAAAGTGAAATTTGATATTTATAGTTTGTATATACCTTGTATATTACTGCAAATTTTTTTTTAAAAATCGGCTAACCAGAAGTGCCACTTTATATCAACAGTGAAGCATATTTTTACAGTTTTCTCAAAAATGGCTCTAACGGTTTTGATTAAACTCGGTGTATCATTTTATAATTAAGTGGTCTTTAATATCATTTAGGTCTTATCCCCATTGATATCACTTTACAGATCTTAAATGCTCAATGTTCATATACGTTTGAAAGAATTTGATAATTGAACAAAAGAGAAAAAAATAAAAATGCTTATCCAGGTCGAAAATGAATCTCCGGATATGCTAGTCAGAAGGTATACATATAATATATCGTTGGAGAATTTTAGAAAAAAATAATATTCAATAATTAAAGTTGTAGAAGATAACGGAGAGTGACAAAAAAAAAAAATAAAATAATAATTTTAGAAAACTAACGTTGTTTAATGTAAATCACATGTTTCCAATGAAATTAAATGAAATTTTCCTACTAAATGTAAACTTCTATTTTTTTTTCTAAGTTTAAAAAAAAGTATTTAAAATCCACCGAATCATGCCAATGCCATTGTTTAAAATACTATTTAATTGTACTTGTGTGAAAGAAGTGAAATATAAAAATATTTCATGGATATGTTTATAACCTTAAATACATTTGCTGTAGTTTAATAACTCTAGATATGATATTATATTTAAATAATTAGGTATCTATTGGCCGTTTATTCCTGAAAATCATCGAGTAACCTTTTAGAAAATTAGTGAATCATTTGATGAATTTTCCCTTTGTGAAATCCGAACATTATTCACTTAAAATTAATGTGACAACTTTTGACCTATCTATGACAGGCAATGAAAATCTCGTAATTTCATTTTAGTTAACTTCACAATGGAAAATAACAGTTAAATAACTAATAGTCCTACAATCTATGATCATGTATCATGTATAGGTTAAATATTCAGATGTACTTTCAAATCTCTCTAGGCATATATGAGCCTATCAGTTGACAGAATGACTAACTCCAATTTCAACATTCTTTTTTATTAATTTTAGTGATTTTTCTAGTGGCAAAATTTATACCTTTATTCACAGTTCTATATTTCAACACTGCAATCACCTACTCTGGAATCAACTTTTATTTTACTCACTGTCTGTATAGATAACTTTGTCAACTGGAAATATCACTAATATGACATTACTCAAAAATGTTGAAATTAGACTTAGTAATTCTGTCAGCTGAAAGACTGGAGTTATATGGTTTATAAAACTAGACTTTTATTGCCTACCTTCGATATAATAAATATACATTTTGTAATTTTAATGGTCTTAATGATTTGTTATCTGTAAGCTTTAAGATTTAGTTCCGTTTAAAATGCACTTCAAAAATTTTATAATAGCCCAACATTGCCAGAAAATAATTTCTATTCAAAGTAGATTGCGCAAACGAGATTTTTTTATACTAGTTCCACTTTTGTGATATTTTCTTATAATTAAATTTAAATTTATTATTTTGCTTATATTTAGTCATTTAAAAAACAATTTGTTTCTTCATTAGGAGGACGATAGTGAAAGTCATTGGAATTTTCATGAAGCAGATTTTCTCCTTTCTTTGGCTAATTATCTGGTTAAACAGGACTACGACCCTTCAGAAATAACAATCCTCGCTACCTATGCAGCTCAGCAGACGTATTTAAAGCAAGCCAGTGTGAGTCATTTGTATAATATAATTTTATGTTAGAAAAAAAAAGTTCATTAATTATTCATATTTTTTACCAACTACAAATATTTAAGAAATGATTTTATTTAATTTTAAAATAATAAATTGGAAATTCTATTTAAAAAAGTTTGTTCCATAATTCCTCAGGGTGGTGTACCTTACAGGCTACAAGTAATATCAGGTATTAAAAGTTTTATCAAAATGTTTCGTCTTTCTATATTCAAAGAAAAAATAATTGAAAGTAAGAAAAAACACCCTACATATATATATGTGTGTGTATGTATGTATGTTTTGGAGCTTTTTGTGCTCTGCACCATATTCATTAAAAAAAATTTTTGTTTACAAAAGAATATATATACATTAAATTTGTTAATTATCACTCAGGACTCCGCCTATATTTTCACCTTAACAATACTCATTCCATCCATTTTTGGATTTCGTTCTTAGCATAAATTTTATCAATCGTTTTAGATTGGAATCTTAACTTAAAAATATTTTTATTTGGACTTTTCCATCTGTATGTTCAAAGGTAAAAAAAAAATAAAAAAATAAATAAATATAAGTTTTTTTATAAAATATTAGGCTAAAGGTCACCAAATGTTCACAGTTTTTACATCCTGTATTATTTATTCAACGTTTCGGCTTCAGGAGCAGTTTTCAATATCCTGCAAACATGTACCGCTTCATAAAATTTCTAAAATCTATCATTACAATGCATGAATACGTTAGTGAGGAGGAACGATATTAAGAAAATTGTTTCTTTTGCACTATCTTCAAATGGACTTCATTGTATTTTTGTGACTGAAATTTTATTTTCTACTTTTTTTTTTATTGTATGTTTGCAATACGCTAGTCTGAAATTTTCCAAAAGAAATTAGGAAAATGATGATAAATTCTTGAAAAAGATGGAAATTCGTCAGAAATATCAGTTATCAAAATCATGCAAAACTATTTTCTTTCTGATTGTTTCTAAAGCATTTGCAATCCGGTTCCCTCTTATGTCTTATCTTATATTTTATCCAGTTTTATCTTAGTTCCATCATTTCTTACTTTTACATAATACCCTAATAATCGTTTACCCTGATAATAATACTGATATATATATATATATATATATATATATATATATATATATATATATATATATATTTAAATATGTGCTTTTGAATTTAATATACTGTAATGACAACGTTACATGGCATTTAATAGTGGCGTGAAAGTGGTAACCCATGTTGTAACGTTCCTCTTTCCCTCCAAAATCAAACAACGAGTTTCCTTTCTTTTTCAATATACTATTTATTTTAACACACAACATAAATTCTCAAGGTTGGGTTCTGACAACTGAACACTCATTCAACATTAATTAACTATAGTTTACTAATTATTAAATACACTAATTATACATATAAATTTATTATTGTTTTCAAAAGCCTTGATTGTCCCAGTCTAAACTTTGTGGCTCTATCCCTGAATGTTCCGTTTTCTGTACCACTTAATTAATTTCTGCTATGTTTTTTCTTCCAACATAAAATAATCTCCACTAGTGGCCTCTATCAAACTCGAACCGGCTAGTACTCCTTTTTCACTTTCTCAGCTTGCTGGCTAGCACCTTCTCTCTTGACGGCTCGTCACCTTCTCTCTTGACAGCTTGTCACATTCTCCCTTGACGACTTGTCACATTCTGCCCTTACATGAGGCTTGCTTCCCCACCATCCGCACGCACTTCCTCCCCATAGTTCGTGCTGTTACCACTTTCGCGCCACTATTAAAATTCCATGTAACGTTGACATTACAATACCTATAAATAGAGCTCTGCAATCTTATGTTATTTTAGATCATAATGTTCTGATGTACTAGAACTATAATTTAAAACAAAAAAATAGTATTTACATGGTAAACCAGTGTTTACTAATATTCTTTAATAAAAAATTCTTTAATGCCAATCCCAAAAACTAGTGTTTTTTGGCTTATAATAATATTCTCAGCATACAATATGGCTTCCAAAATAGCTTACTTAAAGCCGTCATCAGTTTAGTATGGATGGGTGATATATTTTTAGCCATCATGATGTACTAAGCATCTTTTAATTGAATTAAAAAGTTTCATTCTCAGGCTACATTCAATTGTTTTCCCTAATGATTCGATCTGAGGGAACGGGGTAGCTAAGTGGTAGGGCACTAAGCTTCCAATGCTAGGTTCGAAACCCGGCTCATGGCAGAAAAATTATTTATTGTTTCATTGGCCGTGCGGCGACTTTAGGTAGTGAGACTCTCCTGGGGCACCCCCTGCCTCTACAAACTGGGTATCCTTGATTAAAGAATGTTTAAGGGGAAAAATCTGGTGGTTGAGCGTGATCTTGGCCTGATCTCCTTCCTGCACAACCTCGTACTGAACCCAAGACCATTCATGGGTTGTAGTGGTACAGGTTCAGGTCAGATCTGAATTATTAATAAATTCAGTTTTGACTGAGTGTGTGAATAAATAAGTAGTAATAAGTTAGTTCTGTTCTATAATTGTTTTTAATAATATATTTTGTTTAATTAATGATTGATTGTTATTTATATACCTATTCTAGGAAGATCCCTTTTATGCCGGAATGAGAGGTGTACAAATTCAAGTTGTCGACAATTATCAAGGAGAAGAAAACAACATTATTCTCTTGTCATTGGTTAGGAGCAAGAGTCCAACGATTGGCTTTGTTGCTAGAATGAATAGAATAAATGTTGCAATATCGAGAGCCAAACATGGCCTTTATATTGTTGGAAATATGAAAACACTTCAAAGTTGCTGTGATAGCTGGAAGAAAATAATAAATATCTTGAGGTCGAAAAAATCAATAGGTAAAGTTTTTTTCTTTATTTTTAGTTAATCAGTCTGATAGTATTATTATAAAAAATAGGTATTATACCTGGTTGAGTCCTCGTGACAAGTTGATGATCCACAAGCCTTAACTTGAAACATCCTCATTCACCAAGAACAATGAAAAAAAAAATGTATTTAAGTGTAGTAGACTGTTAAGTCTTGATACAACAAGGAATCCTCTAATGTCCTCAACATACACAATAAACCTGATTCTTTGAATTTAGTTCAAGTCTTCCAAGTTTCCTGTACTTGTCTTGTGGAACTTGAGCACCCATTGAAATGGAAAATATTTGTGTTGCTGTGTATAGAGGGTGTGAGTGAAGTCTCTTATTTCTAAAGTGAACCCTAACTGATTTATTTGGAAATCTAGATAAGTATCGATTCTCATTTAAAAATTCACGATGGATCCAATGGTCCAACTTTTTTTTTTTCAAAAACAAATCTAAATATTAATAAAAGTGGTGTGAAAATAAACTTATTTTCAAATTTGGCCATTTTTTTTTTTCAAAAAATGTAATACAGCTTGCATTTCTTAAGTATTCTTAAAAAAATAATTCATCAAAAGCCTTTAACTGTTTTTAAATGAAGGTTAAAATAAATTAATTCTATTGTAAATAATTGTATGCAGTATTTTAGTTTTATTATTATCTTTATAACTTTTCCCTCATCTCTCTAAATCATACACCACTTTTGTTTTCTCTCTAAACCATTGCCCAATCAATTTTTTTATTTTTTAAAAAACAGTCTGAAGTTTAATTCTCTCCAAAAGTGGCTTTAATAAAGTTAAAAATAAATTACGATTGTTCACCATTTTATCAGTGGAAACTACTAATTATTCATTTAGGTGAATAATGGTCTATTACTTTCTATTTTTATCCTTTAATAAAATTCGTTAGGGGGATAATGCTTTTAAATTTATAAACCCGTCTCTTTTAGATGAAGAGATGAAACCTATCAGGAATAACCATGCTTATAGAATGTGGAAATTGACTAATATAGAGAGAGGAGCAATTATGAGCAACCTCTCTGTAACCTTTCCTCATGACTTGCAAGTCCATTCCCGATGTGGACATCGGTTGTAGGCATTCCCAGCTACTCTGTGTGAAGAGACATGACTGAACCAGTGCTTACCGATTAGATTCCCTTAGCATGCTTAGCAGCCAATCTGCTCAGTTTACTTCCCTTCTATTCATTTTGAGTTGTAGGTTCTTATGATTGGATTTGATGTTATATTAATTTCTTATCAGCAATGATTACTTAGTATTTATTTTCCTGGCTGCAAGTTAAATTATCACATGTTCAATCTCGAGTGACCGCGAACCCGCTATGCCTATTCTGTTAGGAGGAGAATGAAACAGCCTTTCACATTGTTTGTCGATGTGATAGGTTTGCAAGGCTTAGGCTAGAGCTATTTGGGGAGGATCGAGTGGATCATCCCAGCAGCTATGAGTCTATTAATCTGATAAGCCTACGGAAGCGACTAAACTAACGTTTTAGAAATAAAACGGACTGCATACATGACACACAATAGATCCATAAGGTTTGCAGTGCTCTAAGCCAAAAAAATATATATATTCTTGGCTGGCACGATCCAATCTTCTACTTTTCTGGAAAATTTATAACACAATCTGACTGATTATCTTATTCTTTGTCTCCTTTCACTTCCGTGGATGTGCAATCGTCAGCATCCCAGGAAATACATTCATAAGTTATTATATAATTTCTAGGTTAAACACAAATCGACCAACTATGAATAATTTAGTTCTTTATATTTCAGACAATACTCTTCCATTGCAATGTGGGACGCATAAGAAAATAACAAAAGTTTCAAGACCTCAGCAATTATTTAACTGTATATATGGAGGCTGTGATTTGCCTTGTGGATTCAAGTTAAAATGTGGCCATATTTGCCCTTATCCTTGCCACGGTTCATCCAAATTGCATAATGAACCATGTCTTCAGCCATGTTTAAGGTAATGATTTAGTTAATGTTATTTTATATATAATATTTTTAGGTCATTGTGAATTCAGTCAGTCTTAAATACATGATATTTTATCACTGTATTGTGAATCATTAGAAGTTTTGTTAATGAGGATTCGGGTAATCATCACTAAGCAGTGTTGACAAGATTTCTTATTATAATAAGATATGATAAGAAATAAGAGGAAGAACCAAAAGACCAGAAGTGGTTGTTGCCTTATATAGATTGTTTTCATAGGATTTTATAATGGAATAAAAATGATTCGTTTTGGAGGATTCGGGAGTTTGTAATACCTAATCAAAGGAGTAAAAATATCAATTATATTAAATTGAACTCAAATTATACAATTACAATATTAGAAATATTATTGTACAATTTGAGTAAAACTCTTACAGCTTACACAGATTGTTTACTAAAAGGACTTGAAAGGAGAAAAAAAGATATGGTTTGTGAACATACTATAACTTCTATGGAAATACGAAGTAATTTCTTGAAAATGAAATGAAAATATGTTTTATTATTCTGGGACTGTTGTCCCTTTAGAACAAATTATAAGTGCTGAATTCATGTGTAAGTGGTCATAAATAGAGTAGATATTTACAATATTAATTATTTAAAAGTAAAAATACAGACGGAAAGAGAGAAAATGACATAAAAAGCGTAAATTTACGTACATAATAATCATACATTTATCATCATACATTTAATACAAACAGAGAAAACTAAAATAACAGAAATATTTTCTGGGGGTATTTGTCGATAGCTCTCTTAGGTATATTTCTTGATCAGGCGGATTGAGAAAGGAGTAGGTGTTTAAAAAGGATGGATTTGAAAGAGGAAACTGATTGCGCGTGTCGAATATCAGCAGGGATGGAATTCCAGAAGGAGGCAGCTTGAATTGCAAATGATTAGTTTTGTCAAACACAGCAGTTCGGTGAGGAGGAGAATAGAGGTCGGAAGTGTGAGATCTAGTAGGACGGGATTGGATGGAGTATTTAAATTGTAAGCTATGGAAAATATAGGAGGGTCAATGAGTTCTAATGGTCTGGTACAGAAAGGTAGCTAGGACGTACTGACGGCGATAGGATGAATTGTGCCACTTCAACTCTGTGTAATACTGGGTTTTATGCGTATCTCTTGAGATTCTGAGTTTGGCCTCGAGATCTCCTGAGAGTCCACCGTACACCATACAGCCATAGTCGAAGTGAGGGAAAACAAGAGAGGAAACTAAGAGTTGACGGGACTTATATGGAAGGAGATAGCGTAGGTGATTGAACTGTTTTAGGGTGGAGATAGTGCGGTGGAACATTTGGGAGATGTGCAGTTTCCAGGAGAGGGTTTGATCAAAAGTAACAGCTAAGTTTTTAACGGTTTAAGATAGGTGAGTTGTTCAGGAGAAGATTGAGAGATGCCCGGAAGGATTTGAGGAGTCCAATCAAGAGGGCTTTCGTTTTCTTAGCATTCAGAGTGAGCCTGTTGAGGTTTGCCCATTCACTTATTCTATTAATATCTTCTTGGATTTTTTGAATGTCATCTGAGGAATCTGTCGGATTGAAGGAGAGGTAAATCTGAATGGCAGCCAGGTGATATTGACAGTGCAGGATTGAGGATGGGAAGTCATTTATATAGATGGATAAAAGGGTGGGGGATAGGGAAGAGCCTTGTGGGACACCTCTGTACAAGGGTAGAGATTCAGATGGGGGGCTATTAGGGATCACAACATACTGGGAGCTACCGGTTTGGAAGGATTGGAACCAATTATGGGCACTAGAAGAAAAGGATATATTTTTAAGTTTGGTTAGAAGGATGTTGTGGTCTACTGAATCAAAAGCTTTAGAGAAGTCAAGGAGAATAAGGATGGTTAGTTTATGCTGATCTATGGCTGTATGAAGGTCTTGGGAAATTTTGATTAGGGCAGACTGAGTGGAGTAGCCAGGCCTGAAGGTGGACTGGTAGGGGTTTAGGAGATTATTGTGCTCTAAAAAATGGGATAGCTGGGATGGGGCTAGTCGTTCTAAAGATTTGGAAGATTGGAAAAAGAAGGAAAATTGGACGGAAATCAATAAGAGTTGATGGGTTAGAGGTCTTCTTCAAGGGGTTTACTAGGGCGGTTTTCCAGGATGTCGGGAAGGTGGCATTTTGAAGAGAATAACTATAGATATGATAAAGGATCCAAAGAATGGATGGCAGTGCAGCTTTGATCAGTCTGAGTGGAAAGATATCGGGGCCAAAATCATTAGTATGGGATTTCTGAATGGAGTTTAAGAGATCATCTGGCATTATGTGGGAAAAAAAGAAGTGATCAGGATTAAAAGAGGAAAGCATGGGAGCTGGATTGGACGCAGGAGTTGTGGTTGCGAAAGGGCAGGAGACATAGTGAGCGTTGAGGTTATCGGCAGAAACGGAAATGGACTGGGACTGAGGTGTATTACCAATGGTAAATTTTCTGAGAATCGTCCATATGGCATTGGTATTAGGGGAGTTAGATAAAGAGTGATAGTAGTAACGGGACTTAGCACGGCGTACTGCTGTTTCTAAGCTGTTTGAAGGAGAGAAAATCTTCATGAAGTCGAGTTTGTTTAAACCGTTGCCTTTCAGCATCTCTTTCTCTCTTACACTCTCTTAAAGCAGGAGTAAGCCAAGAAGCGGGAGGATGTCGGATGGTTTTTGTGATAAGAGGAGCATGTTGGTCAAGGATAGAGTGAAGATGAGAGGTAAGGGTTTCTACCAAGGTGTTGATGGATTTTGAGAAGTAAATGGGATCCCACTGGATATTGTCAAGATCTTTTGACAGTGTTTCGTGAGTGACGGAATTTAGGTTTCGGAAGGATATTGTTCGGGAAGAAAGGGATGGGGCAGGGATATTATAAGAGATCTGGATAAGATCATGGGAAGATAGAAACGGGTCCGGGTGCTGAGATGCGGCAAGGAGTTTGTCTGTGGAATCTAGGATAAATAGATCGAGCCAGGACTCCGAGAACTGAGTATGGTGGATAGGGTTGTAGGGTACTATGTATAGGCTGAGAGAATGGAGGACGTTTGTTAGGTAGGAATAATCGGACGATGGCATTAGTAAATTGGTATTAAAGTCTCCGGAGAGGATGACATTTGAGTAGGAAGGGATTAAATTGTACAGAGAAGTCTCAAATAATTCATCAAGAGGAATTCTAGGAGGGCGATATATAACCAGTACAAGTGTCTGTAATAATGATGTAAGACACATTAAAGAAAATAACTGAGCATACTATGCTTAATAGAGAGTAAATATAATGGCCAGCTAATGTTTAAATTTATTTTATAAAAATGAAAAATTATTCGGAAAATGCAGTCAATATTTATTAAGTTTGCAGATGTTTTGACTCAAACATATGGATCAAAAGTCAGCATAAGTATAAGTTATTGTTGTTGACAATTTTATTATTGTAAGATTTACTTTTAATTTTTTTATATTTTAAATGTTTTTTATCATCTCTTATAGCATATTATAAAAATTATATTTTTGTTTATTTCAGATATAAACAGTGTGGTCATAAGTGTAAAGATAAATGTTTTGAAGATTGTGAATCAAAACCTTGTAGACACAAAGAAAGTTTCACCCTCAGCTGTGGCCATAGTGCTGTTTTGGCTTGCTCTTTTGACTTCAGTAGTTACCTATGTATAGAGCCCTGCAACAAGTAAGTACTCTCATATATAATGTCTTTAAGTAACACTCTCATTTTTATGTTTTTTCTCTGTTAAGAATTCCTTATACCTTCTCAATGTGCTATTTAGTTTTATTTTTTCTTTATACAGTAATAAAGTGGGCGGAGGGGAAGAAATATGAGATTTTTATAATTAATATATTACAGTTAATAGAACATTCAATAAAATGGAAAACCAATGCATTATAATTCAGTATACATAACAAACTTGGAGCAGGGTGGCCTAATCGGTCTAACACCCATCGCCCGGCAACCTAATAAACAGAAGTAATCATGAGTTCTCGTCCTGGTGGCGTATTAACTTATTATTATTATATAATTATATTATATGGCTTCAGAACCCTGTCTGTACTCGTCTAGGATTTGTAGCGGCTCTGCTGGCTGGCCCATTACAAACCCTATACCCATTCAGATACCTCAGCCCTACTTGCTTCCTGAGGAACTTCAGTCTTTTAAGATTAATAAAATATATTTATAATTAGAAATAAAAATTAAGTGAAATTAAATAATTTTTCGGTTGTCATTTTTCCTGAAAATACAGATACTCTGGGGTGACAAAATATAAATTCACATAATTTTTAACACAACCAGAGTTTAAAACAAACCTCAACTAAATTGATATGAAATTAAAGCTCACTTTTTTTATAAAAGTGAGTATCTGTAGGATGATTAAAAAACATCACAAATTATCCATGATTTAATGAAAAACATAGTTTGGCAGCCAAAAATTCTACTTTGAATGGTTTTAACAAGGACAAACTGTATGGTACAGACCCCTTTTTATCGAATTATTAACATCCGCCTGAAACTTCGTGAATAGTTGCATCTCATCGTAATCTACAACTATTTTATTTACAAAAACTCTTGGAATTGAGGCATTTTTAATCTGGAGGGGAGCAAACTTTGTCTATTTAATTAGGTACTAAAAACTCGTAAATACACATTTGCTTTCTACTTGGATCGTAGGATTATATCATCACAAAATCAAGAAAAAAGGTGGCCTTAAAAAATATAGAGCCGTTTGGCGTGATTTACATCCCCAAATTTTCAAAATAATGAGGTTAGGACAAACTACCCAATATTTTTGTAGGCCACCTTTTTTATCGATTTTGTGATCAAATTATCTTACGATCCAAGTAGAAAGCAAATGGGTATTTACGAGTTTTTAGTTCCTTATTAAATAGACAAAGTTTGCTCCCCTCTAGATTGGAAACGCCCCAATTCCATGAGTTTTCATAAATAAAATAGTTATAGGTTATGATGAGATGCAACTATTTACGAAGTTTCAGGCAAATGACAATAATTCGATAAAAAGGAGTCTGTACAATGGAATTTACAGTTTGACTTTGTTAAAACCATTTAAAGGAGACTTCTGGGCTGTACCGGCGAGCTTAAAGAGCTAGTGGAGCAAGGACACCACCAATTGTAGTCTTGAAAAAATAACAGCTGTAGACGTCAGACTCGCTGCAGCAAGACTTGATGAGATGCACATGCTAGGGAAGTATTACCTAGGAAAGGGAAGTGCAGGCTGTTGCCAGAATCAAACGGTTGTTCCATGCCAAAAATGTAATATGAGAATTCGTAACACCAGTGAGAGGCTCTGTTTTCTTAATATCCTTTTTTTTTTTTTACATGTTTCTTGTATTGCCTAAAAAATTATTTAATTACATTTTTAAAAACTATGATTGGCCAAAGTGTACTTAATGACACCATGCAGTATTTTTATAAAGAAAAGAAGTTAAACCATATATATTTTACTTATTTAGAACACAAAACAGAAGGTTTAAGGAAAATTTTTCATTTAAAGTCGTTTTTTGAGTGCCTGGCCTATTATGGGTTAAAAGAAAACTTGATATTGATCCTCTGAATTTTCAGATTGATGTCCTGCGGAAGACACAGATGTCAGAACCCATGCTTCCAGGAGTGTGGCCCGTGGCCTTGTATGGAGCTCATCGAACACACGTTTCCTTGTGGTCATTCTGAATCAGTCGAGTGCTCTGTGATCAGCTTTTACAAATGCATGAAGGAGTGTATCAAAATGTAAGTAATTTTAAAAACATTTTCTTATAAAAATAATAGCTTAACCACAACGGTTCCTTATTTTTAATCTTTAATTTTATATTTGTAGCTGTACTTATTGTAGCATTGAGGAGATCACTGGTGATACAATTGGTATGTAATAGCAAGCACCTATTGGTACCTATATCTAACCAGGATTTTAATAAGATATTGCTATAGATCTTTTAACTAACTCCTTAGCTGTACAGTTTGTTATTTAAATTAAATGAATTGTTAATGCTTAGTAAAAATTACAGAAATGTTCTCTAATATTTATATATATTTTATTTATTTCGATTTTTAATGTTTCAGGAGTTCCTGCGGAATCCACAGGTGTATAAAATCCTGCAACGCAAAATGTGGACTTTGCCAGGTTATGGTACAGACTGTATTGGATTGTGGTCATGTAGTTAAATTACCATGCTCTTATGAAAAAAATGATGCGTCTACATGGGGAAGCTATGGCTTGTATCGTTGTTTAGTGGAAGTTGAAGAAATTTCTGAACATTGCCAACATTCATATTTTCAAAAATGTCATGAAAAGACTGAGGGTATAAAGTTTAGAGGAAAATGTGTTATTGGATGTTTTCAAAATCGTGACACCCATTGCAACATTTTCTAATTTTTAATTTATATAGTTTATAATTGTGATAATCTATATTAAGTATTATTATTTCTAATGCCTTTATCGAGAAGTGGCCTATAAACTATGGAGGAAGTTTATTGCTCTGAATGAAGAAACATAATTGTTTTCACTTTGATTTGTACAGTAACTCCATTTAATAGGTTCAGATTCCTACTGCAACATTTGTTAATTTTATATACCTATATTATCTCATTGTAAGGACTTTACTGTTTTTGATTCTAAAGCCTCCATAAAGAAAAATGATTTTAAGCCATTTCTCAGCTGTTTTTTGTTGTGTTTTTTTCCAGTCTATTATGTTATAATTATTGTTATTAGTAATGTTAAGACTAAAGAAGAAAACAGTTACCGTCCTTTTAGTTTAGTCCCATTGAGCCAAATCTGTGATAATTCTTAGTCACTGAATTGTAATATTAGGGAACATTTACTATTGGTTCATGAATTTTGGTCCTCATGTGCCATTAGCATTATTTTGTGTATTAGTGGACCTTTTTTATTATTGCATATGTTTAATGCAATTAAATCTTTATATGGTTGTAATAATAGTTTGTAAAAGTGATATTCCATATAATTTTGATTTTGTTTATGTATGAAAAACAGTTAAAATGATTCATATTTTTTAAAATTTGTACATGAAAATAGTAAGTAGTAGATATACAAGTTTAGTTCCTAATACAAAAAGTGTTGAGTGAATAATGAGTATTTACAAAACTCTTATGTTAAAAGTGATTAATCAGAAGACTGATTATTACATAAGAATTTACTAAGTATTAAATAAATTTTGTTAAATCGAATTACAATTAAATAAAAATAATTTGAAGTTGTTAGTGATATGGTCTATAACAGGTTCAGTATTTTAAGCACAATTGAGTGACTTTGTTAGTAGTTATATAAAAAAAATAAACTTGAAATGTATTTTAAATAAATTTTCCTAATTCTTAAATATTAGAAGCTGCTTTTTTTTTTTATTTTTTTTTTTTATGAGTTTGGTGCTTATGATACTCTTCTTGTTTTTGGTTCAAATTTTAAAATTAATGTTTTGTTATACGTTGATGTAATCAATCTGCTGTCAGTATTAAATAAAATATGCTGTTGTAAATGGCAAAGGAATCATTTGATCCATTATTTAGTGAAATAATATTTATTATTGTGTTTAAAGGATTACAAAATGTGTTATGCCTTAATCGATAAGTTTTGACAAGATGTATACTCTATTAAATAATAAAGATTACCTATATTTTTATTGTCTTCATGTTTTTTCAATAACTTTAGCTATACCATTCAAATACAAAAAGAAAGCTTAATAATGATTTATATCTTCTGGTTAAACTTAACTTTTTCTCTTATATTTTAAATATTAAAACATCCTTATTAAAATAATACTCAATTTTAGATATGCGGAATATCAAACAGTTCAGAAAAATAACTGTATATGTATAAAACTAATAATGTCTATTGCTCTTGGTGTAAAAATAATTATGCATATTTTATCATTTTTATTTTCATAAGAATTATTAATCTGATTGGGTATAGGAGAAGGAACATGAAAATAACAAATATTGAAATAGTACAACTTGGTGAAGGATAATTGTTGGAAATATTGTTGATAATTAGAAGTGTAGATAGATCCTTAGCAACTCGATATCAAACCAGAAAACATTTTTGAGATCTCAAAGATATTACTAACACACAGTAAAACTATAGTCGTAGTGATAAAAAAAAATTGAGGAAGTTAAAAGAAGCCTATAAATATAAGAAGTGGTTAGAATTGAGACTGTGGTGGCCAAAAACTGCTCGCTTTATTTAACATTCTTGAGCCTAGCAGCACAGGTTGAAATTCATTTTATAGCAGACCCTGTGAATGAATCTTGCTAGACCTTCTGGTTAGGTTGTACTTATTGAAAAACATACGAGCGTTCACTGTAAAAGTGGGTGATTAGAATGATAGAATGACTGTTCTGTTTTTGTTAAGAAAGTGTATTATCAGTATATGTACTTAAATTAAATATATACATTATACATATATTTGTTAATTATTATGATAAATTTTATGGATGCTGAGGGCTTAAATGGTTCGTGGACTGTGAATTATTAAGGATCTAATAAATGGCATTGATACATTAAATATTATGTTTAATCCAAGAATAATTTTATAAGTGAATTAAAATTAAAATAAATTATTATTATTTCTTGATACAGTCTTCTCTCTGTATATAATGATGCTTCATTATTTTGATACTGATAAGGTTACTTCACTTGAAGGTGGTTTTCCTCTAGGTCTATGCTTCCCTGATAACGATGAACAAGCTCTCTCAAGAGCGTTCTGGAATAGACTACCTGTCCTGGAGAGCTGAGTGGTGATTGGGTTTTTCCCTCCACAGTACTTCCAACTCCAACGTATTTTTTTAATTTTGATATTTATATTAAATAAAATCATAACATTTTATATATTTGTTATGATTTTTATTTTATCAAGTATTCATATTCATAAATATATATTGGAGTGAGAGATATACTGGCAAGGAGGATCCAATGCCCTTAATCTCATCCCAGTCTTCTGGCTGTTGGTCAGGAAGCACTGTCTGTTCCAGAGCCCTCTCGAGAAAACACGTTCACTGGAGTCAGGCGAGTGAGTATAAACTTATATGCGAGTGTAAACTTATATCTGTTTTATTTAAATTCACTTGTCATAAAACTTGTTTTTAGATCCTTAATAATTAACAGTCCACTAACTAAGCCCTCAGCATATAATAAATTATCATAACATACAGAAAATTTTTTATTTATTTATTTATGTTCATGCAAATTTGATAACATGAAATCACTTGTTGAGAAACTACCCACTGGTAGCACTCTAAAAACAAAATGTATTTACAATAAGAGATCTCGGGGCCATCTTCTTTTCAGACGCCTCGGAGAGTTGTCAGGAATTGAACAGGAAGCAAGGTTAGAGACGAGAGGATTCGGATGGTTCTGAAGTTTATTATGGAAGAATTGGTATCTGGATTGGGCCAAATCGGAAACATAAGGAACATTAAGGTCATTATGGATTATTTTATTGATGACAAAGTAAGGAGCATTGAGGATTTTCCGAAGGATTTTGGATTGTAAGGATTGGATACGAGAGGAATTCGATGGCTTAATGGAGCCCCAAAGTTCAACTCCGCAAGTCCAAATAGGTCTTATTGTAGTCATGTATATAAGTCTTTCGTAATTAACTGGAAGCTTAGAGCGTTTGTCTAATAAGTGTTGGAGTAGTTGGAAACGTCGAGCGGTTTCTTGTCGTTTCAGTCTGGTATGAGGATTCCAAGTTAGAAGTTTGTCCAAGGTATTGGATTTGTTCAACAGGGATAAGTGGGGTATTATTAAAGGATACAGTGGGACATGAGGTCATAGGTTTACGTCGAAGGGTAAAGTATAGAAATTTAAATCATTATTTATTTTTAATAATATAAGAAAATTTTGCTAGCCACAAACAGAGACAGAAATTTTAATCATTATTTATTTATTTTCAAAAGTCAGAACTATATATATATATATATAAACAATTAAAGTATATTTACAAAACAATCACTTTCTGAAGAAAAACCAAAACTATTGTTTGTCTATTGATCATTCTAATCCTGTCATGTTAAAAATTTAAATAGGTAATGAAATTATTTTAAGAGAAAATTTCACCTAAAATGTGGACCTACTTTAAAATTTGGTTTAAGGCCGACCAGCCACCAAAAGCACAGCGGAGCTGAGCTGAATCAGCTTCCAAAACAACCAAAGGTTTTCAATGAGAGGCCGGCCACCAGAAGCTGAGCAGCGTAGCAAGGGTCAGCTTTGCGTCGGCTGAGGTTCAGTTTTGAAAGCTGACTCCGCTAGGCTCAGCTTCCTCCACCACCGTCACACAACTGTGGGGTTTTGTTCCTCTGAGTCATCCTTTTTTTCCACTTATTTTCACTGCACAACCTCTCAAATTATTTTATTTTGGTTCAGAGTAAAATATGCTATGGATGTGGAAGAATTATTAATCGAATGTGCAAGGAAAAATATTCAATTTTTCTTCTCAACTCAGACATGATCAACTTAGCTATTTTTTAAAAATGTTATATATGCTATATATACTTTTTAAAAAAATGTTATACGGAATATGAGAAGGTAACGATGTAAGGCAAGTTGTTGAACTGAGTTCCGATGTAGAGATGGTAGACCGTGAAATTTAGTTGAATGATGACCACAAACTAGGAGTACAGCCATCTACCTTTCCTTACATGTAACAATCGCTGTGTTTATATTCTGTTTAACTAGACAACAAATAAATTAAAAAAAAAAAAATATGATCATTAATGAAATATCTATGATGTAGGAGTGAGTGTTTATTTTTCATTACATTCAAGTTAACAAGTGACTGAATATAAAATACTTCATAGCTGACATCGATAATTTTTCTGTATTGGTACATTATTTATACAAATAATTTAATATTAATTTGTGTTCAATGTAATGTTTAGAAGACAGTTATTGCATTTTCAATAGAAAAATTGTGCTACAAAAACTATATTCACAAAGGAACCAATTCGACAGTGAAAAACATGTTAAAATTACTTTCAAGTGTAATATTACAGAAATTATTATATACCTTAAATAGATATATTTATTTTTATAATAAAAAGAACATAGCTTAAATTTAAAATAAATATATATAACATGAGAAGTGATACAACTGTATAATACCAAATATCAGTATATAAATTAAAGACATTGCTAACAAACACATCGACTACGTACCATACAAATATACACGTTTAACATGGTTAATAGAGTATTATGTTCTGCTGCGTATTCAAATATTTAAAATTAATAAGCAAAATACAGCCCTAATTGAATTTTTACACAGTTAAAATTTAGATATACTTACACATATCTTGTACAAGTTACAACGTATCTTTCCCATTTTCATTAGAGTACAAATAACTCTTATGGTTAACAAAAATAGCTGAGAAACGACTTACTAGGTAATTATCTTTGGGATATGCCGTGACTATTATTAAAACTAAATACCATGAAATAATTTCAATTGGTTGTCACGTACAGACATTCATCACATTAGAATATCTTCCAATTAAAAAAAGTAAATCTTTGGACAGAAAAGCGATAACTTCTTATATTTAGAAAAATAAATCAATTATTGATCAAAGATTATCTAAATTCAAATATCCATCTAAAACAAGTGAAGATAAGAGATAAACACAACTGCTCAGAGGCATTGAATTTGACATTTTTATAATTGCCAGTGTAGAATTAGTTGAAATAAATATAATGCCTTTTAACCAGAGGAAAAATTGGGACTAGAATTCAATAATAAAAATTATTTGGAATGCAGAAAATGCAAACCTGTGAAATTAAATAATTAAAAATACATAATTAAGAAAAAAAGATGACATAATATCATGAAAACATTGACCGTTCGAATTCTTCAACTTCACTAAAGCTATGGATCTGAAACTAATATTTGTACAATCTCATAAAAATATATAAATTAGAAAATATCATTTAAATGCCCTAGAGGGAATTCCCCTTGACGACGTAATTATAATACACATTAAATGCTTCATTTGACATTTTAGTGCCGAATTCAACACTTCCCTCATAATACTATAGATTAATTTATATATATATTTATAATTTCCAAATAAAGCCACATCGAAGCGGCTATGTGTAATGTGTAATGTAATACACACACAATAAAAGGAATATCAAATGCTAATACTTGTGTAATAATTAAAATAACAAAGGTATCTGACAGATAAATAACTAACAAATAACAACAATTTACAGATGAAATTGTACAAGATAATTAGGCTTCACTTTCACCAGCTTTGAGTCTAAGCCGAGCAAAATCTTCAAATATTATGTCATCATCAGCATCGCCTCCAACAAAATTATCATCCCTGTTAACAGAAGAGGGTCTATTTAATCTGATTAATTCAAAAGAGATACAATATCAGTTGATATGATAGCAAAGTAAATGGTTACAAAACGGAAATCAAGTTAGTAAAGCAGGTGAATTATCTAGTGAAGTATTTACAAAAAAAAAAAAAAAATATATATATATATATATATATAAAATAATAAAGTAAATAAGAGTGTGGATTCCACAGTGCATAAAATGTGTTGTGACTTGGTTAAATAATATTAATTTCAACTTTTAACTAAAAAAAAACAAACAATAAACATTACAAGAACAGAGAACCTGTGATTAAATGATCATCGATTCCTCCCAAAATGTTATTTTTGCAATCTAAATCAACAAAATGGTATGGTAAAAAATAATTTAAAAAAAATTTAATTCATTCAAATTATATGAGACAAAAAAATTTTAATTTGAAACATAGAGAACGTGTGTGTGTTCCCCTATTGTGGTGTTTTAGTGTTGTACCCACTTTTAAAGACCATTTCTTATCCTCAATTATACAACTGATTTAGATTAGTTCTTAATGGTTTGTAGCTGAGGGTAGTACACAGAAACACACACAAAAAAGTACAGTGCAATCTCAGTAATCTAAACAGGAGAAAAAAAAAATGTTTTTAATTAAGAAAGGAAAGAGGAAGGAAAGTATCGTTCAGGAACAGAGAATAATATGTAACAAACAGGGAGGAAACACCTTTGCAAGCCAAAATAAATGAAAAATAGTGTTCTCTTTAAGTATTAAACAAATATAATTTGCTTTTCTAAGTACAGCAAATATGTACAATAAGAAAGAAATTTTTATTTCTAATTATACATAAAGAGAAATCAATATTTTCAAAAGAATAAATACAGATGTAGGCAAGTCCTTGAAATTATTGTGTTGAGCAATATAACATTCTGTCACAATAATGACAATAACAATAACGAGATAAGAATTCGTTCCCACAACATTTACAAAAAATATAAATTAAATAAAAGAAAAGAATAATAATTAATAACTAAATAATAATGAATGTATCTCATTAGTATTTTTGAGATTGCACTGTATAAGATATTTTTTATTTTTATTTTTACAAAAAAGAAAGGAATGATCATTATTTGAAATAAAAATCCAACGGTACTTTTCAAAATTAAGTATTGTTGCTAACAAAGAAAAAAAAAAATATGCATACAAATTTTACTGACATTTATTTTGTTATACAAATTGAACATATACTCTTGCCTTGGTCTTAAAATGGAGTTTGAGTGTTTTAATTAATTTTATAATTATAATTATTAACAAAATTAAATTATACATACTGCATGTAAGTTAGCATAATATAAAATATGTTTTACTGTTAAGATATATTGACATGTGATCGATATTGATATTGATTGTTTTTTTGATAAGGTTAACCTGCAATAAAAAAGATATAAAATCTCATTGCTAATATTGATTCAATCTTTCTCATACTAATAATCATAACTGGTGCCGAAACTAAGGAAATTACTTCAACATCACTTTAGCAGTTGGCTGCTGCGAAATTTGAAACTGTGAGTACCAATTTTATACGAACTATTAGTGGAATTGCATAAATATGGGAGAAGCTGAGCAGATAAGCAAGTATCTATCGCGGCAGAGACGACGCAATTAGAATTGTTGAAGATTAGAACACAAAATTCTACATTTATACATGAAGTAATTGGTCAGTTGGAACCATTTACTGGAATAGTAGGGGACCTTGAACATTTTATTAAGGGAGCAGACCAAATTAAAGCCTTGATATTATCCCGGCATGAAGCTGGCACATTAATAGAGTCTGATGTTAAATTACTAGAGGAATCCTTAGTCGGGCGTATCTCGAGACGAGTATTAAACGCCATCCAAGGCGATCTAACATGTTCCTGGGACTCCTTGAAAGTAAAACTAAAGAAACTGTGCGGTGGAGGAAGATGGACCCCAGAAGAAGACGTGTTTTGTCTATTTAAGGATCAATGAAACCAGGGCCAATCAGAAGGCGTTTTTGCAGAAAAACTCCTAATTCAATACAATAAATTGACAGAGAAATGGTAGAAACCTACTGTCAAGCGGAGAGAGCACAGAAACTAGAATTCTTGAAAGGAATTTTGAAGGTACAACTGAATCACTACGTGGATCATCCCGGTTCACTGCCAAGAGATCGAGATTTTATTGAGTGTGCGCATGATCTCATAGATTCTAAGGAAAGAGAAGAAACGCGCTTCGAGAAACAGGAAACAGATTGGATAGAAGTGAAATCACCGAGGAGGAAATACAGAAGTCCGCCCAGGCAGGTCAATAAAAATAGCAAATTTGATAGACGGCCAAGCAGGTTACCCGATGAGAGAAGGCGTAAACCAGAACAACGTTGTTATGAATGCAACCAGACTGGCCATATAGCAGTTCCGAGCGCAGTGGCCAGGCAACGAGAAAAACTGAGGTAAGTGGAGGGAATCCTTGGAGGGAGGATCCTTCCTGGTCGAAAGTAGTAGCGGGCCACCCACGTCCTGATTGAGGGTACAGTGACAGGCGACCAAGGGAGTAATTTGATAATTAATAATAGTGTTAGGGGTAAACATCGGACTAGGTTGCCCGTGGCGAGATTAGAGGAATCCGGAATCAAATTTTTGGTTGATACAGGGAGTACAAATTCGTTAATTAGCAAGAGGGGAGCGGAGAAATTGGGTATTTGGATCGGGCGTAAACAGTTCAATTGTATAGTATCCACGGTTAGCGGCAGATGTCAGACCTTAGGGGAATCCTCTTTGTGTCTTAGTGAGCTAACGGAGCGGGATTCGCATATAAAAATCCACATTATTGAGCAATTAATGCCAAGTTATGATTTAATTATTGGTTGTGATATTCTACAGTGAGTGGGTTTAAAGATGAGAGTTAACAATAAGGAGTGGCGTTATGAAATAGGGAAACGAATGTACCGAATTACAAAGAAGGGAAATCACGAAGACATTAAAATCGGGGCCGCGGAATGTACAAAACAGGCAATTACACATTTAGTGGAACAAAACAAAGATTTATTCTACAAAGAAAACGAAGTTTTGCCAACAACGGGGAAAACGGTACATCGAATTCACCTGAAGACAGAATTCTCAATCTACGTTAAGGATAGGCGGTATCCCCAAGCCATGAGAGAAATTATTCGAGAACAATTGGAAGAGTTACAGACACAAGGAATTATCAGATGTAGCAATTCCCCGTTTAATAGTCTTTTATGGGTAGTTGAGAAGAAACAAGGTGAACAGGAAGGTGAGCCAAAGAAATATCGACCAGTAGTAGACTACCGGAAGCTGAACGAAGCGACAAAAGACGAGCGTTACCCTCTCCCTCGGGTAGAGGATATACTGGATCGACTGTCGGGAGCAAATATTTTCAATACTCTGGACATTTAAAGTGGTTACCACCAAGTTAGAATGGCGGAGGAGGATATCGGGAAAACGGCATTCTCATGGGAACGGGGCCATTTTGAATTTGTCAGGATGCCATTCGGGTTAAAAGGGGCCCCATTAACTTTCCAAAGACTCATGGACGAGCTACAGAGAGGATTAGGTAAAGATTTTTCCCAAGTCTATATGGACGACCTTATCGTTTTCAGCAAAACTGAGAAAGAACACGTTCAACATCTAAAGCAAGTTTTCAATAGAGTACGCGAATTCGGACTCAAATTATCCCGTGAAAAATCTAAATTTGGGCTAAAGGAAATTAAATTTTTGGGACACGTAGTTTCCTCCAGCAGGGTACAACCTGATGAGGGACATGTAAAACGTATTCGGGAGGCACCATTACCTAAGAATGCTCGCGGAGTTCGACGTTTTTTAGGTATGGTTAACTATTATCGCAAATTCATTCCAGGAATAGCAGAAATAATTCACGCGTTAACAGAAATATTAAAGAAAGGGAGGAGGTTTCAATTGGAGCCAGAGCAATTATCGAGTATTCAGAAATGTTGTGAGATTCTTACCACTTGTCAGCTGTTAGCTTTTCCCGACTTCCGCAGGCCATTTAAAGTAACCACAGACGTGAGTGAAATTGCTATTGGGGCCGTATTGTCACAGAATTATGAAATAGGAGAAAAGCCGATATCATATGCAAGGCGAAAGTTAAGTGACGCCGAACGTCAGTACAGCGCTATCGAAAGCGAATTATTAGCGGTAGTGTGGGCAATAGAATACTTTCGTCCCTATATATACGGAAGAAGTTTCGAGCTGATCACTGATCACAAACCCCTACTATCCTTAGACACTATGAGAGAATCATCTGCGCGGGTTTCACGTTGGAAAGAACGTCTCGTGGCGTATAATTACGATGTTGTTCATAAAAAAGGAGTTGACAATGTAGTCGCCGACTGGTTGTCGCGGGAGTTGGTAACAAATGCAATTGACGAAGAGGACGTACCTACTGAACCTGACATGGAGGAAATCCTTAGAACACAAATAGACAGATCACAAGGGATACCCGAAGTCGACGAGGTTATAAATGATAAAAAATTTCAAATTATCATAAAATCGAAGCAGAGTCCGGGGCTGGAAACACACGCGAGTGTGTACGCGGGGTTATCAACGATTTTAGTCCACACACCTGCATCTATAGACGACAACGAGCTAGAGAGGATTTTCACAGAATTTAGTCAACGGGGCCGTACATGTTATGTTTATGTGAGAAATCGTGCAATTGTCGATAAAATGAAAAGATTATGGCGACAAGAGAGAATAGGAATGGGCTATTCACTCGTTAGGTGTTTACGACAAGTAGAAACAGTCACTGAACCGGCGGTACAACAGAAAATTGTCAATGATCACCACACTGGCAAAACGAACCACCGGGGAATGGAAGAGATCCTGCGGGCGCTGAGATTATTATATTTCTGGAAAAATATGGGCCGAACGGTAAGCGATTATATCGTAAAGTGTGAAGTCTGTCAGCGGGCGAAATATGATCGACAACCTCCGGTATCTGAACAAGTAGTCTCGCCCACCGCACTAGAACCACTGCGCTTAATACAAGTAGACATTTATTCTAACGAGGGTCAATCATGAGTAACAATGCTAGACACGTTTAGTAAAATCGCTTTGGCTCATCCCATTGAAGAGAAAAAACCCCGAGCAGTATGGGAAGGGATTTTGCAATGGTGCGCGATTTATGGCGTGCCCGACGAAATTGTGTCAGACTGTGGCAGAGAATTTGACAATGCCTTTATTCGAAATGAATGTAAAACGCTGGACATCACTTGGCGACTAAACACCCCCCATCACATCAAAGGGAGATGTGCGGTGGAAAGATTACACAACACTTTAGGTGAACACCTTAGATTATTTAAACTAGGAAGAAATTAGGATCCATTTGACGCTATGCCGCGAGCAGTGATTGCCTACAACAATATAATACATGCAGCGACGGGTTTATCTCCAGTAGAAATCATTTTTGGTCAAAGGCGACGTGATAGAGGAGATCTCATCACAACCAATAATAATAAATTATGGGAGGCACTATATCAAGCTCGAGTGGAACGACAGACATCGTGGAAAAAAATTAAGAGAAAAACTAATTCGCGAAAAACGGACTCGCATGGACCGCGCGAATAATCGCTCCGTAGTTTATAGCAAGGGTCCGCTAACATTAGGAACAACTGTGTACAGGCGGCTGAGAACAGCGAGAAATAAAACTGCCGCACGCTACGAGGGTCCCTATAAAATTATAACCATCAGGGAGAATAATTTGTTTACCATTCGGGATGTAAAATATCCGTTCAGATCGCGTACGGTACATCTCGAAGAACTTCGTGTACCCCGAGAAGTATCAGGTCTCGAGTCTGGCTGCGGCGCTCAAAAAGAAACTCCACGTGGTTAAAAATCAGTAATTAGTTGTAATGTGTTTTGTACAATTTAGATAATTTTTTTTTTGTTTTATATAATATTTTTCAATTTTTTTTTGCTTATAGGTATAAATATATGTAAACAGTTCTGTTATTCTTCAAGTTTCAGATAAATGCAAGTATTTTCTGTTATCATTTAAATTTAAAATATAGAACAGTTTTTCTTTTGTTTAAAGTATTAGAGTTCCTCCTTAAGAAGGAACTGGAGGGAGGAAGTTAGCATAATATAAAATATGTTTTAGTGTTAAGATATATTGACATGTGATCGATATTGATATTGATTGTTTTTTTGATAAGGTTAACCTGCAATAAAAAAGATATAAAATCTCATTGCTAATATTGATTCAATCTTTCTCATACTAATAACCATAACTTGTAAGCTTTGGGAAACTGTTATTTTGTTTACTATTGCTGTATAAAACAGAGTTTGTCAAAATTCCACAAATATATTTTAATTAGCAACAAATCTTACAGACATAACAAAAAAAAAAAAAAAAAAATTAAAAAAGAGAATGAATAGGCAAATTCTTGTCAAAGAACTTCAAAAACATTCAATATTTGGTTTATAAGAATTAATAACCTCTAACTTGATACAAGCTGAATCATGTTAATGTGAATTGTAAAGCAAAAGATGATGATTAATTGCAAAACTACATTTTTGCAGATAACTTATTATTTAGTCTGACAAGACACATTTCAACTTGTTTAAATTGTTGATTATACAATGACCTCATAATAGACAAAATATATTTTAATAACAAGTTCGTAGGGAGTGCGGTCAATAGACATACTATAATGTTAAGTATTATTCCTAAATCATTAATAGACAAAACAATTTCCAACAATTTTTAAAAAAGCTCATTCAACAATTATACAACTCACAAAAACACTTTGTTCACAACTCGTGCTTTATATTTTAAATATATTTTCACTCAGATACCAATATATCCTTAATTATAATGTATAGTAATTAAATAATGGTATATTATATAAATAGCACAAAAAAAAAAATAAAATAAAATAATAATGATGCCAATAGCATATGAAATTCTTTTATAAAATAAAGAAAGAACTTACGTGTCCAATTGAATAAGATTAGTATCGACAACCATCGGAGCGTCTTCCTGAGCAGCATCAGCTTCAGTTGGCTGCAGACTTGACTCTTCTTCTGGTTTTGGGTGCATCAGAATAAATGGCAATTCAGCGACCAAGTCCCTTTAAAAATAATAAATAGAAATAGAAATAAATTATTGTGAATAGAAACTTATCATTTTTTTTTTATTGCTAAATAATATTCAGATGAGTGTTCACAAATTTTCAAAAAATTTAATAATTATATTTTCTCAAATAAAATGAATTCAGGAAAATGAAATATCATAAAACATTAAAAAAATCTATTCCAGATCTGAATAATGTGGAGCGTAATCTAAAAAACAATCTCATGAGAAATTGTTATCTCATGAATGATCACAAAATCAAAAAAATCTACTCCTCCCATACCTTGCAAAAATATAAAATCGGTAAAACTCAAAGTTGTTGGCTTCCACTGCAGTTATTGAAGAATGCTAAGCGTAGGGAACGTTCTAGAGCTGGTGAAAGGCGCGGATCCTCCTGCGCTTGCATATTCTAGCATCCCCCACTATTTATTTAGTTTTATAGGTCGAAAAAATTGCCGAAGATTAGAAACCCTGCAAGTGCCGCCCAGGAAGGACGTGTCTAACATTTTTGGCAAGAAACATACATTCCTGCACAATATCATTCTGAAGGATGTCAAATTTAATTCCTTTGGTGTTTGAAAATTGGGTAAGGAGTGCCGAAAACTGGTGCTAACATATATTTTAATATTTTATTGTAAACGAATAAATGAAAGATAATGTCTGTTTCACATATATAATTTGAAATTAGAAGTCTCCACTGACTTAACAGAACCAAAATTGTTGAACCAAGTACTCACAGGATTGAGAATGAGACAAACACATTTTGAAGTTTCCTTTAAAGTGCCGAAAACTGGGGGGGAGGTTTCCCTAATAGTTGATTATAATAAAAAAAAAAAACTAATATCTAAAAACAAACAAACATGTTTTTTGTAAATTTAAATCTTATCAGATGAAATTGATACTTAATATTAATTATATAATATACGAAAAAAACCATAAAATTTATTGGCCACTGTTTCAACATTTATGGGCCAGTGTTTTAACTGCCCCTCGCAGTGCTATATCCTACGCCCTGATGAAGACCTACAAAGTGGGTCGAAACGTCGGCAAAAATTAAATAATTCTACTTATTTAATTTAGTATTAATTTGACCGCACCCCCCGATCAACTCCTTTTCATAAAATTTATTAATTAATTCATACCTGATTTGGTTACAATTACAATGGAAATGCTACGCAACTTATTAGACTGGATAGTAATTTACAGGAATATGAGACTTAGACATTTGTTTGGGAAATCTTCTAATAATATCTAATCATTTATATCTGTTTTTTCAATTTCGCTCTTTTTCAATTTTTTTTTTATTTAATAAAATTTTCAATCAGTCCTGTTTAATATCACTAAATTATGCAATTAATAAATAAAATAACATTAAAAAAACTTACCCGCCGAGTGCTCCTAAACACAATTTCACTTTCACTTTATACTGCACAATGATTCCAAGATTTTCCCTTTGGGAAGGATCAGCAACTCTATAAACCAATTGAAGGCATCGGTTAAAGCTTTGAATGGTAAGATAGATCATTAACCTTACATACATAGTCAGCAGTATAATTACTGAATAACTGGGAATAATTGAATAACTTTTAATGATTGTACAATTTTATTTACATTATTTGAGTATGGTTTTGAAAAATAATTTATTTAGGAAAAGAGAGATAGAAAATAATAATCATAAATTGAAATGTTTAAAAATTATTCTTGCTTATAAGAAAAAAAAAAGTAATATAAAGTGATAAGACTCTAAACGTCAATAATAGATATAAAGTGTGCCCAACCTTTTAGAGCCTTGTCACTTTGTGGTCAATAATACATTATCTAATAATCTGAATAACTGATTCCAAGGTAGAACTACCACTTTTTTAATTTAATCAAGGTAATAGGAATATAAAAATACTAGTTCCAGACCAAACTCCTACTTGAAACTGAACCCATAGTGATTTAAAAATATCTACTTATTTAATTTTTTTTTTCAGTCACTATATAATTTAAATAAAATAAAATAAATATCTAAAGGAGTTCATTTGATGGAAAAGAAGACAAAAATAAAGGATCAGGTACATTAAGATGTCGACTATGCCATTGGCAAACATCCACCATACATGAAAAGGTAGTATACCGGAATTTACTTTAGCTGCTTTGCTTTTTCACAGGACTTGAAATAGAAAAAAACCTTTTACTTTTAAAAAGTTTTAGCATCATCAGAATTTTTATTGTCGATAATTTGTCATACCTTTTGGAACTAGAACTTTTTTCCTTGCTACTTTTGAAGTAAAAAGGTTTTAGAGAACTTTTATTTTTTAAAATGTATATTTAAACGTTCTGTCGATTTTGCTAAAAAGTCAATCTAAAAATGACTTTATTTTAAACTATTTGAGCAAATGACACATTAGAATTATGCACAATTCATTGAAGACAAATTATAATTCTCATCTAAACCCAGTTATTGTTTATTTGTTTTATTTAATGGAACTTTTTTTTTTTCAGAATTGAATAAATATAAGTTATACTTTTACCATATACCCAGAACTTTATTTTAAAAAAATTGCTTAGAACTTTTAATAAAAGTTTCAACCCCTGGTTTTTCATGACTGAGTTATTTTGATTTAGAATTGAAGCTGAAGTTATTATTATATTGTCAAGAAATTGACCAAACAGGTTTTAAACCTTCCATAAAATTGAAAAAAATACACAGCTGACTAAAAGGAAATAATTGTGAATTATTATGGAATAAATTACTATATTTTTTTATACTCAAAATCGAAGTAAAATGAAGCATGTCCCCTCGTAGTTTTTACAGCTCCTATAATAATTCATTAAGTCTAGCGTCAAAAACATATGGTAATATTGAGGCAAAGATTTCAATTACAAGAAAAAAATTAATAATAATTATTAAAGAAAAATATAAACAGGTTAAGTATATAGTCAGAAAAAAAATAGGTAAATCCCTTATATGAAACCAATTTAAATAAGAGGCAGCAGTTGTGCCGCAAATATCAATTTAATTAAATATAACATGCGATATCATATATGTCATACAGAACATTCACCCAATACACCTAAAACCTACAACAGGCAAACATAAATTACGATAATGACGAATCATGCGTTTATTGTGAACTATTTATAAATAAATAATAAAATTATATATACATATCAAATCACTAAATTATCAACAATTTTCTACAATATTTAATAAATATTCCAATAAAAGTACAAACATGCAAAAAGATTCTAAAATGAATGTGTCCATCTTCCATGTGATAAGTTTATGAAGACTTAGTATTTAAGGTTCTTTAAAAACTTGGAAAAAGTTTCAAATGTAGACTGTATTTTAGAGCACGTGTTTTGAATGGGCCTCATTTCTTAATATTTTAAAAATTTCATTTGTCATTCATTTTATTTTTTTTTAATATTGAAAATTGATGTTTATGATAAAGCGAATGCCAGTGTCAGAATTGATTTGCTTCTTTTTACTCCAGAAGTTTTGATGTTAAAGATGATTTTTGCCCTGGCCAGTCAATTCTTAAAAAATTCTATAAAATTCTTCAAAAAATTGAGATAGACTGACATATTTCATCTTGAGACATCACTATGAAACTAAACATCGATTAGAAAACAGTATTCAACCGTTTACATAATGATGGATACCAAAAGAGGCTATATACTTGGGTCCCACACAAATTAACAGTGAAAAATTTAATGGACTGAGTTTATATTTGTGAATTACTGTTGAAACGAAATCAAGCCATTTTTGAAACAAATGATTACTGGATTATGAAAATCACTTGGTTCATTTTTTTTCTCAGAACTTCTTCAGTGATGGACTAATGGTTTTACCAGAAAAGTGGAAAAAAGTTATCGATCAAAATGATACATATATCAGTGGTTAGTGTTTGAAGTTTATATAAATAAATTTGCTTTTAAAACATGAAAAAGAAACTAAATTAATTTTTCCTAAACCCAATATTTAAGTATTAAGCTGTCTAAATCACCCCCTGGTATAACTAGTATTGCATCTTAGACAAGAAATGGATTGTAAAGATAATGACCATCCCCTGTTCCTTCCCGCTATGAGATGATATAATAAATCACTTCTGAAATAATCGAATTTATTTTCGTTTTAACCTTATCCTATAATAGTTGTAAACTTCCCTCATTATTTGCTCTCAAACATTATTCGTTCTTGTAGAAAAATGAAACTAGAGATCAGTGGTGCAAAAAATAAATCAATAGAAAAAGGATTAAAATGACTTTAAGATTATTATTATTTTTTTTTTTTTTTCTGTTCCTAATACAAATAAAATTCAGAAAAACTACGACAGTCACAATATTTAATTTTAAGGTACTCACAGAGTGCTCGAGGCCAAGTTAGTGTCTTCGTGTTTGAGCTGCCCGTCGAGGGCTAGACCCCATTTATCCTTATTGTTAGCCAGGAGTGGTGTCAGCGAAAAAACCTTGGAGAGGGTGAAGCCAGGCCCGATCGGACAACCTTCCCTACCATCACCACAACAACAATCTCTCATGCTCCTTCACCACAAAACCACTTGGGTAATGCAAATCCAATCCGATCATGGAGAGCAGAGTGGATTTACAAAAAAATATTTAAAACATCACTACATACTATCTACATAGCTAAACTCCCTTCCACCATTGGATTTCATATGTATCAGTCCACTTAGACGCCTTTAAGAAAAAATATTAAATTTCATAACCCCAAAAAATGGTATATGATTCATAAATATTTAAAATAGCTCACTGCAGTGGAGTAGGTGATTGATGAAAGTTGATTTATGAGGGAGAGGGTTATTAATGGAAAGCGAATGAATCAATTGTATACATTTTTTAATCTTTCGAAATTCAATGCACATTCACGATAATGAGAAATATTTTGAATAGTCTAAGTATCAAAAGTATTCAGAAACTTAATTTCTCTGCTGTCTTAGAATATATCTAAAACACATGAAGAATTCTGTACCAATAATTTTATGAATAAATCTATTACAGTTTTTCCAAAAAACATCTTTAGTAAAAAAAAAAATAAAAGAGCATACTTGGCAAAAAGATACAAAAGTTAGAGAATTTTAAAGTATGGTTCCTGGCATTAATTTATATTGGTGAAACAAATAAAAAATTTGTTTGCTTCCTCATTACTAAAGGTAGGGAAGCTTTTTATTTTTAAGAGGTCATAAATTTATTTATAAATTCACAAGTACATAAAAAAATAAAGAGTGAGTGAATTAGGAAATATAGATTGGAATGATAAACGAGGAATCGTACTGTACGAAAGCAACCCATCCATTACCATTAAGGCTCAGAGAATTTGAACAGATTAATGGATTTAAAAAATATTTTTCCTCTTTCAAAGGCTAAACTGTATGGAACGAATTTAATTTCCTCTAGTATAATAAAATAAGCGGTTCATGGAGTTGATCGTGTAATGTGTTAGATATCTATGTGAAAGATCATTGATTTTAATTAGATGTCTATAAAGCTACTGTTAATTCTAACAATGTTCTATTTCTTAAAATGTGATGAGTTTTGTAAAGGTTTAACATTATTTTCTATAATTTTTAATAATCATGTAGTTTAGTAAAGTCAAATTTAGTATGGGGCTGGTAGGGTATGTCCTAAAGTGGTTATTGTAAACAATTGTAAAACCTTGGTTTTAAATTTAAGCCTACTTTAATTTAAATAATAAAGTTTTAGGAAAACATGAAACGGCAATTTAGACAGCACTATTTTATCTTATAAAAAACACTCAGTACTCATAAGGGTGAGGATTAAGGTAGTTTATGTGGAATGTGCGATCACAGATTTTAATGAATATTTTTTCTTTTTTCGAAAAACATTATACAAGTGTCTAAGGGTTCTTGCCAAAGTGCTTTTGGGGCCGATGAAAATATATCTTATATCATTTCATCATTTTTTATTATATTGTTTTCTGCATTAGCTCTGAATAGATTTCAATGTTTCTATACTAATAACATATATATTAGTATTATTAATTTTCTTTTCTATTTTTTTTTTTTTTTTGAGAAAAAATATGATCTTCATCTTTCATTCAACAAAAACTCTTATTCTTAAACATTTTCATGGCAATAGAAAATACAAATGTTTACAATAGAAAATACATACAAAATGGGATCAGGCTTACATTATATTAATTTCTGTTTTGTAAGTGGATGATTATAAGCTATGTATATCAATTAAACTATAAACAAATACCAGCCCAGTTTGGAAAAAAAACACTATCTTTGCTATATAGCTGTAGTATGAGTACAATATTGAACAATTTGTAACGCCCAAATCAGCAAAGTGGGTTAAAATAAAATACTTGTTTAAGGAAAAACAAAGCTGATATTAATTTTTTGGCATCTTGAAAAACTTTAACATATATATTTTCAAACCAAACAAAAAATAAAACTTTGCTGCAAGTCCAAAATTTTTGCCTAGACTAATTTTATGGTTATAAGAATTAATAATAATAAGAATTCTTTATACATAATATTAAAAACTTGTGATTCACACTGAAAAGTTATTGCATATTACCATGAAAACATTAATTGTGTGATAAAACATGAAAATAATGGTGCAGTATTACAACAAATATATAAACAAATGCAGTTGAACCTCTATCAGTCGAATTTCCATACACTGAAAATCTATACATATATATTAAACTTTTTTTTTAGGAATTTTGTATTTTAAAAAACATATTCTATGTATTGAATCAAATTTTACTATATCCAACAAGAAATGATCGTTAAAAAATATGAAATGTAATAACTTTTCTTCATCTGAAATATTAACAATATTTTTGGCTCATTAAAATTGAAATTATTCTTTTTAATTAAAAAAATTGCAAAAGTGAATGAATGCTTTTTAAAAAAGACAAAAAAAAATTCTAAATTTCTATTTACTGTAGTATTTTTTTTTTTTTTTTTTTTTTGGAGGGGGAAAGATGATGGTAAGGATTTTTGTTCGTTTTTTCAAAATTTTTATTTATTTCAAATGAATTGGTTTATTTCAAATGAATTTATTTATCAGGGCTTGGTTACGGAGTGGATAGCCACAAAGAACACTGATGATCAATCAGTGATACCTTCCTTTTATGATCTGAGCATTATTTATATAATTTTATAATATTTTTATACTGATTTAGTTTTTTATTATATTTTCAATATATTATTATTTTATTGACTATACTAATAGAAAATTGAAAATTAAAACGGTTAAGAACTCTCTAGCTTGAATATATAAAAAAGTAAGAAAAATAAACAAACCTAGAATATATCAAGATACATCAGATGCCTACCTTATAAAAAAGTGATAATGTGATGAAACTATACAAAAATACCAATTTGGTACATCTACTTTACAGAAGTGTGTTGATTAAGTATGAATTTCTTTTTGTATCTCATCTAAACTACGAGGGATTGAAAACAAAATTACTTTTAAATACTTGCCTTTGATGAAGTAAAGAGGTAAAGGCAAAGTCTCAGCAAAGTTCTATTGCTGAGATTGGGAAATTGATTATTCAACAATGATTTTGTTTTGAATTTTTGGTAAAAAAAACAAAAAAAACATATTCAGTACTAATTTTAAATATAGTGAAAATATAAAAGAAAAATAGTAAGTAAATGCAATGTGAACAATGATGAGGTGCAAAAAGGACAAGACACTCCCTACAGTGAAAGAAGACTTTAAGTTAAGAGGTGCCTAAATGGACTGAGTGCATACGGGAGTGTTGAGTTGACCCTCACATGGTGCTTGAGGCGAGATTGGTGTCCTCGTGCTTGAGCTGGCCGTCGAGGGCTAGGCCACGCTTGTCCTTGTTGTTCTGCAACGTTGGTCGCACGATGAACACCTTCGAGAGAGTAAAGCCAGGGCCGACTGGGCATCCGGCCCTGATCCTCATCATTAGATAACAAAGCTTAGGCTAAATTATAACTAAAAGCACCTAATGCACACTTTGAAATGTTCAAAAATATAAATGTGAATATATAAAATCTATGCAATAAAACACGATCCATATTGTTTATTAAATACATCATCATCAATTTAATAATATAAAAAAACAAATAAAAATATTAATCAATAAAAAAATTATGTTACATAACAGATAACTCTAATCCTTTAAATAATATGTAATAAATTAATGATTTAATATACAAAATTAATAATGATTGCATTTTGTTTATTTTGATCCAATCATTAATTTAAGATATTTTGAGTAATGATGTTGTATTTAATGAGTCAGAAGTTATGAATAGAATTATTGTTTTATTAAGTCAATATGCTGATGAAAATGACAAATAATAAAATAAAATAATATAAAGTGGCAATAGGCTTTTATTTTGAATAGTTAAAATATATTTGTTCAAATCACTACATTAATGTTATAAATCTTTCACTTCACGCATTGAATACATTTTTAGCATACATAAGAAATATAAGAAAATTACTGTACAAAACTTAGACTTTCAAAATTTTCCAATTTAGTCAAATTTTGTTTTCAAATCGTTTGATGATTAAATTAAACCAGTGAGTGACCCGACAACTCTGAAAGATACGAAGCTTAATGAAGTGATTACCACCATATTACTGAGGCTTAATGAAGTGATTACCATCATATTACTATCAAGTGAAGAGGAGAATAGTGGTCAAACTAAAAATTTGGGAATCCAAAAGGGAAAAAAAGGGATAGTACACAACACTTGTTTGTTTTTTCTCACAGTGAATATTTTATAACACCTCTAAGATAGTGGGAAGCGTAACTATTATACATTACTGAAACAAAATAAGTGTATGAAGATATTGGTTGTTCAACTTATTCATAAATAACTATTTGATTTAGGGTCTATTGAAGTAAGATTTTTTTTCAAATAGTTAATTAAAGGTGATATCTATTAACAACAGCTAGATCTGTATCAATTTGGCTAGCACAAAAATAACTAAGAGACGATTTGAAAATGCTGAATCTGATCATTGGAGATTGGCAAGTGTGAATAAAAATTAATATATATAATTTGTATCCAAATTTTGTACAGTAGCTATTAATATAGAAAAATAATACTTTAAAAATGTCTTTTAAAACAACAGTCCTTGGTGATATTAGTAAAAAATAATCAAATAATTAAAAAAATGTTATATTAATTGGTAATTTAAAAGAAAAATATATTTATTCCACCAACATGAATAAATAAAAAATTAGCATCTAACGTATAAAAAAAATTATGTCTTTTGTATTTATTATAGAATTTTGTTATATTATAGAATTAAAAGGTTTAATAGAAACAATATTATTAGACTTACTCGCTCTCTGCTTCTGCAACAGTACATTTGTACTGTGCTGTGGAGAAGAGACAAATATCAGCAAACTGCCTTACTGGAAAGAAATATTAAATTAATTAAACATGTACAACTTTGTCTAAGAGTATAAATAAAGTGTGCAATTCTTACCAGAAACTTTAATTTTTTTGACTGTTCGATTGGAGTTATTTGCTATATGGACGTTCACTGCTATACTTTCACCATGATGATAGAGCTGAGAAAGTTAATACAACAGCATATTTTAATTCTTATTTTATATTTAATCATCAAATGGAGAACAAAAAAAGGATATTTTTTAATTAAGGTAAAATTAATGAGTCCAGTGCTGCATTGATATTGAGAGAATAAAATGTGTAGAGCAGATTATGACTTGTAATATTAGTACTAACCAAATAATCCTTTGTTTAATCCCTATGATAAAGCGCAACCAATAGTTGTGATTTACTTATTGGAATATAATAATTATATAAAGTGAGATATTTGAATAATTATAAACAAATATCTTAGTTTACTAACAAAAAGTAAATAAACAAACCTCTTTATCGAGCGAAGCTTCTAAATGAAGTTTGTTGGGGCTCATCATGAATTCTTTGCTCACCTCGACTGACGGCTGCTCACCCTGTTTACTTGGGGCATACATTATTTTTCTTATAGCAAGCCTGACAGAGTTCCTAAGACAAACACATCTAATAAACGTTACAGTCAACTATAATGATAAATTAGATCTTGTTTATTATTCTCAGCTTTGCTCTAGTTGTTTAACTGAGAAATGATATCTGTAGAAAGCTAAATATACACATATTAAATGTTGAGAGAAATATATTTACAATAGATAGCTCAGTTACAAAGTCATATGTATTTGTCCAGTTACCAGGAGTGATGGATTTTGATAGAGAAGAGACAAATACCGACTTCAGACTCTTAATTTATTAATAAAACTTTAATAAAAGTGATTTCAAAACTCTAGCAGTTCTAAGTCAGTTAATCAAGACGGAACCATTTTCGAAATAACATACAATTAAGTACCACCCCCCATACAGAGACTCCTTAAGTTTAGTGATGGCCTCACAGGTTCCAAGAATACTTGTTACATTACATTGTTAAAGTTGTTAATTAATTTAAGTTTTCTTTTTTTATTGAAACAGGTAAACTTAATGTAAAGTTGACTAATTTCACAAACACTAATGGTGGCATGCCACAATGCTCTTTCCAGGACTTCCGTGACGGAACTTTAGTAAAACGACTTTTCCAGGCTCCAACTGTAGAAGGAGGAAATAGAAAAGGAAACATACCCGATACTGTGGGTACAAATATGTTCTAATTTCACATATTCTTAAAGCACTTTGAAGTCCAGATTGACAATTGTATACCCAAGGAGGGAAGCAGTACGCCCTGGGTCCTTAAACGGACCTCAAAATAGGGGATTTAAAACAAAATTAAATGATGTCATAATTTTTGAAGAGAAGATTCATTGCATTGGCGTATTCAGTCGAAAAAATGTAAAAATAAATAAATTGTATTTATTTTTATTTTTGCCGACGTTTCGGCCCAAAGGTCAAGCCTTCATCAGGGCTTGTCAGACGAGAGATTCCCACAAGACCAAAGTGGATCAAAAGATTGGTCTTGCAGGAATCTCTTGTTGGAAAAGCCCTGAACTTTGGGGCAAAAATCAAAATAAATACAATTTATTAATTTTTTTCTTCAATCATTTTAATCTTCTCTTCAATTATTCATTACTCTCAACTATCAATCTCCACAATTACAAATATGTTTCTTTAATCAGTGAGAACTTTAATGTTTTGTTTTTATTTATTAAATTAATCATAATGATACATTTCAGGTAAACAATATTTTTATTTACTTGTTTTAAAGAAGGCATCATATTATACTTATATTCATTCCACTAATTATTTAGCAGATACATTGAAATAGTTGAACATGACTAAAAAATAATTTTTTGTCCTCAAATGATCTAGATCAAGGGTCTCCTAACTCTTTGGCCCGTTGACCACTATTCAGACCTCCACTTAAGTCCCGCGGACTACAGTTTCTGATGAAAAAAAAAAAATTCTTGTTCTATAAATGACACTTCAGTTGTGAAAAGAATTTTCTAAGAGTACAAACCCATGCAATAAGTGTTACATAAATGTTATACAACCTATTTTATGAGTAATTTGTTAAATTTCATATATTTTTTAATAGATTTTAGAACTTTAATATTTCATCAAAGAAACTTTCACGTTCCGCATCGGAATTGCTTGCAGAAGTTTAAAGATCTCTGATCTAGATTGTTCACTGCAAACTGATATTTGTCTCAGCTCGAATGCATCAAAATGATGAAGGTTATTCTCATCAAATGTTATTAAAATAAAATAAATGAATCTATTATAAACTTTGCAATATGAAAAAAAAAATCATTTGAACTAATAATATTTCATATTATCAAAAAATCAGTTGGTACACTTTTGATGAAGCTAATCTTTAAAATCCAAATTTTTTAATTTTGATCATTTATGGATGCTAGCGCTGAGTGGTCGAAATTCAATCATAACCATTAAAAATTTGAGGGAAACATATAATTAAATAAAAAAAAAATTAAAGAGTAAATCACGCTTCACAAATCCTAATTTATTAATAAAAACAAAATTTAAATTTAAATTAAAAATCGAGCTTAAACTACTTAAAATTATTTATAAGTAATACAAAATAAACTCATTCAAAAATATTTAATTTCCATTTTAATATATGTATCTTATTATCACAAAAAATTAATGTTATGATTAAGCAAGTATAAAATAAATTTAAAATAGCATTTCAATTCAGTTTAAATCAATTTTTATGAAGAACTTCTTTGTAAACAAGGTTCTTTTCTAATGTTCGGTTATTGTTTAGTACATAGACTTTTCCATTACCATTGGAAATATAAATTTCAAAATTTTAAACGAACATACTCTATTTGATGCCACATATAATTGTCCATATGAAATTACTGGACTTTTCCAAAACTTTGACACTGCGATTTGATTATGGTCATAGCAAATGCAGCTAATAATAAGAACGTTGTTCTTTGAAATTTGAATGAAAGAAGTATTGTTTCAGAAAATGTTTAATTAATTCTTGGAATTAATATTCTTTTCTAAGCACTAAGTACCTCCCATTAGTACTTCACTCTCATTCTTGTTCCATTAACTAATGCTTGTGCAGTATTTAGATTGAGAATGAGTATAACTATAGAATTTACTTTTAAATGTAACACTCCACTAATATTCAATATTATCTCTTCAAAAAATAGTCTCTATTAGTTCAGTAAATGTAAAATTTTTTGATTTATCAAAAACCAACATAATGGAAACTGTCTTTGGAAAACAAAAAAAGTACTAAATGTTTAAAACGATATATCTCTGCTGCAAGTCTGATTATGATGGATTTTTTTTTATTTTGTAGAGAATCCCGGAAGCTTTCAAATAAATATTAATATTATCGATAAAAAAATGTGTACTTTTTGAGTTATTCGCAATGCACGCCAATTTTCGTGTGGATAAGTAGAGCCATGTCGAAGTTATGACAACTTTTGTGCAAAAAAATGAAGGCCTCTGCCTTGAAAATTTGTATTTGAGGGTTTGTACGAAATACAAATCTCAACTTTGTTCCACCTTAAAAAAATATTTGATCCCAGTTTACTCCTACGACCGCTACAAATCCTTTCTTTTCAGGTATAATTCTTATCAATTTCGATGATTTTTTTTTTATTTAGTAGGAAATTCAGGAAGCTATCAAATAAATATTGGTATTATCATTAAAAAAATGTGTACTTTTTGAGTTATTCGCAAATAAAATACTGAATTCATCATGAAAATTTATACAGCTTGTTTTCGGGAAAGTATATTATATACATAAATTATAAATGTTTCAAGGGAAGACTTTGGCCAAGTTTCGTTAAAATTGTTGCAGCCATATTGGCGCAACAGTCAGAAGTGAATCACATTTTTCGGACGTCATTTCGAAAGAAAAGGCCTGATGATAATGAAACGTATACAAAAACACTCCTAAATCTTATTGTGACGTTCTGCCAAAATTTCAAAGAAATTGATGAAGAACTTTTGGAGATCATTTGTTTTGAACAAACTACCATTTATATTTTTAATTACATACACTATTTCATATTTTTATTTATTGATAACAATAAAGCTCGTCAAGCACTATTAAACAAAAAAAAGAAAGAAGAAAATCGGTTGAATAATAGAGGAGAAAAAGGGGCTGAACCGTTTTCTGTTTGCCTATTTATATAATGATTATCAAATTACTTAGTTGATTTAATGAAATTTATAAATTTATTCAATTTCATAAAATGTAACTTAATAGCTATTTGCAAAAAACTGATGACATTATTATTTGACTTCATTTTTACACACAACTGTGATAAATCATTTATTAACTTTTGACATTTAGTAAACATTTTTGTTTAGAAATATATTTGATAAAGAGTTATTATATTAGAAATGCCTAATAATATTTATGAATTACCTTTTATGAGGTTTATCTTCTTGAGACTCGGCAACAAATGCTTTCAGTTCATAATCGACACCGCATGGTTTTCCTGTATCCCCGGGAGCAGGCTGCAGGGTGACTGAAGCTGGGCAATGAGGAGGTAGTTCAAAGTAGAAGGGATAAGCGTTCGGTCCTAGTTTTTTCATCAATCTTTCCTAAGAATATATAATAACCAATAAGTACTTATTAAAAAATGGAACTTTGTTTAATTTGTATTCAAATTAAAACTAATACTTTATATTGGAATTCTTCTTATACCAAGAAAAACAATTGCTTAGATACAAAAGATATATTTATAAGATAATAACGGAGTTTGTCACCTGCAGCCTGGTTATCGGCCTCTTTGTTTGTTGTTCTTGAGGGGGATAGATCTGGTCTGCAGCAAGGTAGAGGTCCTTTCGAAAGGTAAGACCGAGGACATCGAGGTCCTCTCGACCATACCTGAAGGCAGCTAGAACATGTCCAAAAACTTTTCTCTCCTTTACATAATCTGGATCAATGAGCACAACACCATCTGTGGAAACATTTACCATGATTAGAAATATATTCTTCTATTTTTTGTAAGACTCTCTGTTAATTTAATAATATTGCATCAATTAATAACTATTTTAATGTTGGTTGAAGAGAGTATATTGAATGCTTAGGCAGAATAGAACCGTTTATTCCACATAAGGAACAGCTGATTATGAACATCAAATCTGTTGGATGTGCAGAAATAATCTTCTTGCTGGTTTAAGAGATTTAAATATGTATATAAAAACACAAGCAAAATAAAATAATAAAACTATTCAATCCTATTAAAAGAAATGTTGAAATAAAAAGCTAAAGTCATACCTATAGGGTCAACATGAGTCACATGGTCTACAAAATCCCTCTTTCCCAAATAAACAGTAATCTGAAAAAAAAATAATAATAATAAATCACTTACATATTGATATATGAGTCTACAATAATGAGATGTAACGAATAATTAAAATAACAAATGAGATTATAATAATACCAGTTTATCATATACAGGAAAAAGAACTTATGACTTTACCGTCATAAAATTAAAATTTACACTAATCATCATATTTTCTAGTTAACAGCATTTTTTCCTATCTAGCTAGTAAAAATTCATGGAGATTTCCAGAACTTTACTAAGCCAATGAAAATTCTTCTGCAGATAGGTATGTGTATATATTGCAGAAAAATGAGACAACGAAAGTAAACTAATTGAATTGGTGTATCAAAAAAGGTGGGTCTAAAATAATCTTTAGATTTACTTTAGTCAGGTTTACTTTATATGAAGGTTTCCCTCACTAGAAATTCTAACCTTTGAAATTCCTCTATATTTTTTTTTTAAATATGAATTTGCCATTAATGTTTCTTTTTAGCACCTTCAATAACATTAACCTGCTTTTTACCAGAGCCCTCTTGAGAATATATAACAGAGAAGACAATATATAACATAATTTCTAAACTTATTTATTTGAAATTATCACTTTTTTTTATTATTTTAAACTCATAAAAAATTGTATCGATCATTTAATCCTTAGTTCATTGAAAATATTAACTAATGTCTCAAGACGTATATCACATTTTTTTGAAAATCTCCACAAATTCTAATAAGCTACATAAAACATTTTTACAATTTTCTTGAAAACAACTTGAACGATTTTTATTAAACTCATTACGTTAGTGCTACTGATTTATTATGTTTATTATTGTTATAAAAAAAAAATAAAAAAAATTAACAGAGATTCATGTAACATAGATTTCGTTAGAAAATGGGAATTTTGCTAGATTTTTTAGTACTAGAAAAACTAAAAGCATAATAAAGAATAAAGCATAATAGTTATATTGTATAATGTCTGCAAGAAGTAGTCAGCAGAGACAAAAGAAAACATCATTTTTGTAAAGCTCATCCAAAATTTTAAATGTATACCAATTCTATTATAAAAATTGGAACGTTTTTTAAAAATTTATTTATACAATAAAAAAAAATTATTGTATATATAAAACTTAGCAAGAAACCACCGTTTCCACTACATCGATCAAACGGGTCGTTAGTGAGTGAAAACTTTCTGAAAATAGGAAACAGGAACTGTGACGTTTCTACTCTGAACAAGAAAACAAAGATTTGGTGGGAAGAAAAAATTGATTAATTTGCCGAAGACGTAAACCTGTCGATCATTTCTCATTGAAATCTGAGGATTGTGTAGAAGTAAATTGATCATTTTTATTTAATTAAGAATATCCGAGATTTCATCTAAGTGGAGGTAAACGCATTTCCCTTTCGAACACGGCGTCGCATAGTGTGACGTGTAAGGAAAACCTCGCGATTTCGGTTAATTTTTTTTTTTTATAACTGCAAAAACTCGATAAACAGTTTTATTGATGCCTTCTGGAATTGTTGAGAACATTTTCAATTGGTAGAATCAAATTTTTCACTGATGTAATTTTATATTTCAATTGAAAACCTAGTAATTTTATGGAATTTCGTGCGACTTTTTTCTTGAAATTTTATCAACTTTTTACTGTTATTCTGCTTAACTAGAAAAATGTATGATAATGTATACAACTTGTTTTACTTCGCATCTTTTTCCCTTTATGTGAACAAAAATAAATTTTTTTACAAAGATCGTGATCGCTAAAAAGTTGTAAGAAATCACTTTTCTGGAGGATATCGGAGCTATTTTTAAATCACGATCTTAAAATTTGATTTAAAAATAGCTATTTTTGTAAACAATCAGGTTTTATCACAGAGGGAAAATTAGGTTATATTCCTAATGGTCTTGACTTGACCGCCAGAAACTATATAATATTATAATTGAGCAGGGGATCCCCAAAAAATTAGTGAATCTAGTTAGGATGTGCTTGGCGGAAACACTCAATAAAGTTAGTAGCATTGGTTATTATTTATCCGAGAAATTTGAGGTTCGTTCGGGGTTAGACCTAAGCGAAGATGGGTAGATTGCGTTAAGGCTGATTTGGCGGGGTTGGGTTCAGACGGAGCCCGGTGGATGGAATAATGGGGACATTGATTGGTGGTATCGGCATCGAACCTTAGGGTTCCCTAAGCATTATTATTGTTATTATTATTATTTTTTTTTTTTTACAGCATCCCCACTAATTTTTTGTGAAATTGATTACACAGTCAACCATCTCCATATCATTAAAAATAAGAGATTATCACGGAAGTTAATTACGTTTTAAATTTTGAAAAATGGATCAAAATTTTGTTTCCTCATTAGTAAAAGTAAATGTGTTTTATGGGCAGCTAATGAGGTGTTTTAGAAAAAGTTTTGGTTACCAAAGGCAGTGTTTCTGATTTGTTTTATTTTAACTAATCGGTGTTAGTTTCATCTCGATTTAGCAAACCTGCTTTACATCCTACAAGGAGTAGTGTATAGACTAGCCCGCAATGTTCAGAGGGGATGCTGGAATAATATCGATAAGTCGACATTTTATAAATCGATAAATATAAAGAAAAGAAGAAAATGTATTGTGGACATATATATTGAAAAAAAAATCGTTAAGAATATTATGCATTATAATGAGTAGTTAATTTTAAAAGAATTTATATCCTTTTGATGGCCTGCGTTTCTGCATCGATAAGTAAGGTCGAAATTCATAAAAAAATGAACTTAAAAGTTTACCTTCATGCACTTTTTCTCTAAATAGAAATATATATTATACATAGTAATAAAAAAAAAAAAATATCTATAAGAAAATCCACATAACTGGTTTGGTTAATCTAATAAAAATGAGAATATGTTTCTTCTTTTGCTGATTGTTGAAATTCTTTTATAGTTTATACTTGGCCATTTCTTATTATTACGAACTATGGGAGACTGTTAATTATTTCAAATAACCAAAGTAAAAGTACTATTTCGATGAGGATAAGATCCACCTGATATTCCAAACTAATACATTGATATGACGAGTTTAATTGTTTACATAAAAAGTGCTTTTTTCGGTAAGTTGATTTCAGTAAAACGTTACTAAGCACCGTTACATATTCCAAGCAGATAACTTATTATAAAAATTATAAAAAAATTATAACTATTTTATAGCGTAGAATAAAAATATTCTTAATTACCTTTCCATTAGGTGAGCTCTTTTTGAATACTCTGAAACAAAAAGAAAACAATCATTATTTTTCAAATAAAGTAAATTTTACGAAATTATAGTTAAATTGTAATAATTTTAAGGAAATAGAAGCACAATAATTTATCATTGTTTAGATTTTGACAATTGTTGGAGATAATAAAAACATCCTCCGAGAAATAAGTCTAGTATAGCTTCCCCACCGTTTTAATTTGTTACACAATTACATATATGTATATATATATATATATATATATATATATATATATATATATATATATATATATACATCAAAGTAAATATTTTTTGTTTCGTTTTAGAATGAAGTCTTTAAGATAAGTTGAAAAGTAAAACCTGAATTTGATATCTGCGACTCTTGATCATAAGCAAATACAAAAATGCGAGAGTTCCGTATTTGTTAATTGTGTATTTGACTCTTCGTGATAAAAAAAAAAAAAAATCACAAGAATGAACAATTTCCAGGACAGTATTGTACTTGATAGGTATGTTTTCACTTGTAAATTGTATGGAACAAAATTCATTGAAAAAATCTAATTTTTCGTTTGTTCGATGTAAATAAATCCGACATTTTCCGTAGGTCAGAACAAAAGTAATTTAAGGTGGAATATAAGAATATGGGTGACGTTTACAAAGTACATTGAAAAGAAGAACTATGCAGACTTAAAATTCATTGACTCTTGTGCCTTCCTTACCTTTAAGCAATAAGTAATTAAAAAAACTGATCCCTTACAATTTTAAAATTTAGGACGGAAATCGAGTCTGAAACGAGGGCTGAACTTCAAAAGAAACAAACACAATCACAAATAAGGCGTTATTTTCTTTTACAAAATTAATTTAAATTTACAATATATAGTAAAATATACGGACGAATAAAAAACGATATCTTTGCAGACCCGAAAGCGGTGACATGGCCGTCACATCGATTTGACTATAGACACCGAACCAAATTTGACACTTGATGCCTGAAACGCAAAACACGAATGGAAATTTCGATTCTGACTACAATTTTTTTTTAACTTAACCTGCTCGGATACAAAGCTTCGCTACTTTAGTTTGCGAGGAAGCAAAATAACGACATAAATTTTATAACGGCAAAGAAATTGTTGATTGTAGACAATATGGTTGTGGTTGCAATCAGGGAGAAAAATATATATATTTCATATTTCTGATTTTTATTTTTAATAGAATAAATATCTTATTATTATTATTAAAATAAATTTATCATTACTACTAAAATAGACATTTTATTACATTTTTAATTTAATAAAATAAGAATAAAATTTTTTATTTTTATTTATGGGTACAATCTGTAACATAACCGCAACACCAACCAACTTTTCAACGATATAAATTTTAAATATAAAAATGAATCAACAATTCAATAACCCTCAAGGGCCTGGAGAATCAACTTAAACGTTTTTTAAAAATTCAAATCAGTTTCTTTCAAAGTGTTGCTGTTGTATTTTAGATTTTTTTTGCAGGAATACACATCTGTCAATGTCCATGATGGTTAAGTAAAAAAAAACAACAACAAAAAATCAGGAATACTGATACAGAATATTTAAAAAGTTGAGAAAAAAAAGAATTTTTGTAACATAGCTTCAATTTAAACCAATTTTTTTTTCATGATTTAACTTTAACATAATTAAATAAAATCATAAGAAACTGTTTGAATATAACATTTAAAACAAAAATTTGTGTTTTCTCCACTCTTTGAAAACATATATCCTTCTATGATATGAGACCACTCATATAGATATCATCAGTTGGACTTGTAGCAAAGTAACAGAATGATCAATCAAGTTTTACGTATTCGGCTGTGATATGACCGTAAGTATGGAATAATATATGTAATTATTAATAATGATTTTTTCTTTCTCTTTTCATTTCAGCCCCATGAGGAGCTGGAATTATGATGAATAATGAGAACTTTAAAAAAAAGTACTGTATAGGATGAATTTCAAGAGAGGCACAGTATGAGAAAGGAATTTTATGACACTATTTAAATGTAATAATATTTTAACCGCTAATGAATGTTTTCGCTATGAGAATCGGCCCCATGGAAAAAAAAACGATCCTAAATAAAGCAAGACAAAAGTTTAAAAGGATGTATTAGCAATAAAATTTTCATAGAATAATTCTAAAAATAGACTAATAGCTTAACAAAACCAACGTGAGGACATTTGTGATAAGATATTCAAGTTTTATAAACTCTAATGAATTTTAAATTGTGGATTGATGGTTGACTACAGTAAATAATTGAAGAGAATGGTTGAGGTGAACATAAAAAAAAAGAAAAGATATACCTATTTATTTTAATTTTTCCCGACATTTCCGGTTTTCGACGCCAAAGTTTTTTCTTAGCAGCGTTTAAGCCCTAAACTTGGGCCGAAACGTCGACAAAAATAAAAATAGACATTTATTTTTGACTGATCATCCCAATCATTCTTCTCTTCAATCTAATGAATTTTATTTTCTATAGCTATAATAAGGGTAATGATTGTAATATATTCTGAGGGTATGTCTTATCTACTTTGCGATTAAGGTGTGAATCGACTTAAATTTTTGCAAAAGCATGACATTCATTATTTGAATTCCATTGTACAGTTAGTGTTTAAAATGACTGACTGTACAGCGCTACTTGAGAAAATAATAACAACTGGAATCTAACAACTTCTTTCTATAATGAAAAGTAATAACGCGAGGGTAATCATCATTAAACGATCACAAAGTAGACATTTTTTAATCAATCACTCCAAGAGATCTGTTGAAGTCATAGAAACTGCTGGAAATTGTATTTGCGAAGAAGTTTTAAAGTAATTTTTAAGAATAAAAAAAAAACAAGCATTTTCTTTGAACTGGAGAGAGTAATCTCTATCAATTAGTAAATTGCAGAACAAGTTGGAGGCAATCCTCTCTAGTCGACTTTATTTTTTGTTGTCGTTTTAATTTTTCTTCCAATGTTTTTTTCAATTTTTTAAAAGTATTATATAATTTATTCTCAGATATTTACTTTTATGGTTTAATGGGTTAAGTTATTACTTTGTAATGTTTTTAAACAAGTAGTGCTCTTTTTGGTTTATTATTTTCAATAATCGACCTTTGTAATCGACTAAGAAAAAAATCTGGTGTGTCCACTCATACGGCTTTTCTACTTATTTCAGAAACGTTTTTATATCTTTACATATGTCCATCAAGAAACAAAAAAAAAATTGAATTAGATATATTTGATAAACTACACCAATGTAAACCGGCTTGAGGTAGATCAGTAGAAAAATTTCAATACCCTGTAATATTGCTGATCAAAAACTAATTTTGTCAAATAATAATTTCTGTTAAAAGTAGAGGAAATAGTGAAGCGTGTGTGATGCGGGTAACAGATTTTCTTACTTTCACTTATTTATTTATCTTTTTTTAAAAGAATTTTCTCGGGAATTTAGTCGATATACGAAAATTGAAAAGAAAATCATTAGAACATTATACGAAAGTTTCATCAAAACCGTTGGAGCCGTTTTCGCGCTGCAGTCTATACAAAAACATGTTTTTCATTTATCGTGCAGCAGTTATTGCGCATGGAGCACCCAATTCGTGTCAAAGGCATCAACAGTCAAAACCCTACAAAATAAAAGAAGCAACAAAATCGGTTCAGTAGTTCCCGAGATAATCTTGGCACAGGCAGACACAGACAGACATACCAATGCCTTAAAATGTGTTTTTCGGAGGCCTCTGAAACGTAGAGATCCGTTGAAAACCGCATATCGAAAATTTGACGCGATCGCAATACTTTTCTTACCTAATATAGGTAGGAAAAAAAAAAAGAAAAAAAAAAAAAAAAAAAAAAGAACCCTCAAAATTAGAGGTTTTACGTCTCCAGATACATAGAATCCGAAAATTGAATAAAAAAAAATGTTTTGAGATTCGGTATCAATGTCTAAGGGCACCCGAGGATGATCCTCAGAGCTCAGCATTACCATTCCTTCTTTCATCTCATTGCACAATCGTTGACTAAGAAACAGTAGTGGTACAGAATTTTTTTTTTTTTTTTGTAATATGTGGATAATTCTTTTAATATATTTTTTCTTGCAAAAAATTATAACATTAGTTGCGTTACCATTACAAAAGAGTACATACTGTGATTGCTTAAGTATTTAACGGAGATAATTCATAAAAACAAATATGGACCAATGAAAAAAAAATTATATTTACAAGATTAATTTGGATCCAACTTATAAAATATAAAGCAAGCATAATTGACAGCGATAGTGCCCGTAGTATTGTTTTGCCCCTTGGCCAGTCATGGGAGCTGACGGTCACGCCAAAATACAGTGAAAGTTCTCTACCGACACAACAGTATATTATGTAATAATATAAAAACCAGCTCGATAGCACAGTATATATAGTAAAATCGAGAAAGGGAGCTAAGGAAATAGATGTCAAAAGACAAAGTTGACGGACGGAAATTGATATTCCTTAGCCGAAAAGGAGAATAACTGCTATCTTCGAGAATAAAGAAACTGTAAGGTAGAAACTTGACGAGGTAAATTTCTCTGGAAGAAATAAGACGAGCGGGGTAAGAAAAAGTGGCATTTAGGAAGTGACACTAGCTCCATCTCCAGAGAATGGGAAAGCTACAACCGAGGCCTCCTAGATGGCCCTCGCAAATGCTAATTCTCAACTGAAGGATGACTTACCCACTTTATATGAAAATTATCCTCTGGGTCATTACTCTCTCGCCAGTTTCATGAATTGTCACTGATAACTAGCAACGAAACGATTCAAGTTAAAAGAGAAGAACACGATTCCAAAATTAAATTTAACAAGTAGGTACAAATCTGCGCATTAGTATTTATTTATATGAGGACCAGAGTTGCTCAGAAGTTTACAGGGGATGGGATATGAACTTTTGGAGAGAACCATGTTTTTGTGACCTTTGAAAGTCGCATGTCATGAGGTGGAGAAACCAATAGTGAAGCCAACATAAAGTTTTTTCACCATATATGTTAAAAAAAAATCAATGATTGATCTCAATTTGAACCCTCTAAATTATTTTACCAGAACTGGTCATGGGAACTAGAGTTCACATTACCTCTTTGACGAGAACTCGTCAAGGAAACCAAATTTGCCAAAATCTATAATTGGTGCTAAATATTTATTTAACATAATTTCCACATTTTCGAATCTATTTCATCAGATACCCAGAAACTGCAAAAAAAAAAAATAAATAATAATAATAATAAATTGAATTCGCCCAATGAAACTACTTCATTCAACAAGTGCAGATTTAAGGTTTAAATAATAAAATTTCTTCATATTCGCCACCGACCTTCGAGATGATGGTTTTATAAAGTTTTGGTGTAGGTGATGGGAGAATAGTTTTTAAATCGAATCAATGTCTATAAAATTTTAGTCGACCGATAAAACTTTTCCGATTTTCGAACTTGAGCTTATGTCCAGATTTTTTAATTTTTTTTTATTTCATAGAATAATAATAGTATCTGCCCCTTACTCTAAAATTTTACTTTAGAAAATTTTCACATCCTTGCCCCATGCTAAGCGGCGTTGCTTATGTGAAAACAAACTGATAAAATTGAATGCACTTACACATAACTTGAAACTGCTTCAATCAAATTAACTCTCATCAATTTAAATAAAGTAAATCAATGCCTGGTGACCAAAGCAGCGGACCAAATATAGAGTGGTATCAAAATATCACGACTATATTTGGAAAGCCTACTAGGGGACGTATTTAAGGAAGATTTATCGATCGAGGAATTGAAGCGCCTACGCGGTATTGGGAGGCCTCGGACCGCTAAATATAGATGCGATAACGTCTCGGAGGGTAGAGGTCAAAATTATCTGGGAGAAGCTTAAGGTAGATGGGAGGATAACATTCGGTCTTGACTTTTTAATTTTCTGTATAACATAAAATTCTTTCCCGTAAAAAATTATCTAAAGTTGATTGACGTAAAATTTTTTTTATGTTTTGATTATAAAGATCAGTGTATCTGCGGCCAGTTTAAGAGATGCAGGTATGTTCCGTTCACGGGAGTAACTTAAGATTTTTTTTATGTAATAGCTTCGGAAAATATAATATTTTTTTATGCTATAAGAACTCGGTCTTTTGGGGACCAGCTCTATTAGTCCGAGATACAGATCCCTTTTTATGAAATTATTAACACCCGCCTGAAACTTCGTAAATAACTTCATTTCATCGTCACCTACAACTATTTTATTTACGAAAATTCCCGGAATTAGGGCGTTTTCAATCTGGAGATTGGCTAACTTTGACTAGTACTTTGACTAATGGGTATAATTAGGTACTAAAAACTCGTAAATACCCATTGGCTTTCCACTTAAATAGTACGATAATTTGATCCAAAAACCGAGAAAAAATGTGGCCTTCAAAAATATTGGGCGGTTTGGGGCGACTTCCACCATATCAAAATAACACGGTAATTCATGTCAAACGGCGCAATGTTTTTGTAGGCCACTTATTTTCTTGATTTTGTGATCAAATTATCAGTGGAAAGCAAATGGGTGTTTACGAGTTTTTAGTACCTAATTAAATAGCCAAAGTTTGCCGATCTCCAAAACGCACCAATTCAGAGAATTTTTCGTAAATAAAATAGTTGTAAGTTACGATGAGATGAATATATTTACGAATTTTGAGGCAGATATTTATAATTTGATAGAAAGGGACTATATCGTACGTTCGTCTTCCTTAATTTTTTTAATTATTAGATCTAGTTTATCATAATGATCATCGTAGATACATTTTAACTAATGAGAGCTAATCACAATAACATATCCTATAAATAAAAATTACTTTTTTAATTCAACAAAGGAGAAGAAGAAGTAGAAACTTAATATTAATCATTTTAGAGTAATGTTTTCTAGGAATAGCTGAGAAAATACAAATTGTTTTTGAATAATTTTCTTTTTCCACGTCGCAGCCTTTAAAGCATTATTTTTATAAAATACAGCTCCGGTATATTTAAAATTGTCCTCTGAATAGAGATATCCCTTAAGCAGAAAGTTCCTAATCGAGAAGTTTCACTGTATACGAACTGCCTTATATAGGTACTAATTAGGTTAAGACACAAGACAAAGACATATAGAGATCAATGTTACTAAAACTGATAATGTTAAGTAAGATGTAAGAGAAACTGATTGATTAGACAACTTAAAGAACTAAATACCTGAATTGGACAGAGGCCATCGATAGCTGAAGTCATTGTCCAACTGGTAGCGGGGAAAGTGCCTAGCCAACCGTGAAGACCTACTTACAACCTCTTTACGCAAATGGCAGGATGCCCATATTGAGATATTTATTTGTCGAATGACTATTCATATACAGGTTTTAGAATAGATTTCTTATTAAATGTGATTTATATATATCGGATTTAACTCAAATTAGAAGAGATTGTGAAAATGACATCTGAATGTGGCACCTGAACGAAACGTCACATTCTTTTTGTATTAACCCATGGAAAGGTATGAGGAAGGAGGTTAATATATTTCTGAACTAAATAAGTGTAATTTACAATATTCTGAATTTTTTAAAGAAACATAAACCCTAAGGCAAGTAACTTGGAAACCTTAGGTGTTACAGAAGTACGGGTGACAAATCCTGAAGAAGATTGCATCGGGCAGATTGCGTCATCAAAATTTTTGAGGGGTGGATTTAAATTGAGAAAAGAGAAAGAAAATGGAACCTACCACAGCTTTAATTATTATTGAATTATTATCAACATTTTCTAAGTTTACTTTCGTTTGCACTTCGTCATCGATCCTGGGGGGAAGGGGAGGGAGTGGATGGGCACTACTGGGAAGAAAAGTAGAAAAAATAAATAACAATGCACTAATTAAACAGATAGAGTGAGATTGACTGATTAATTGATCTTTTATTGTCTAAGGACCTCAGGCCCTTTCTTACATACAAAGGCACAAAATATGTTAAATATTCGTTGAACGTAATCAATTTTCATTACAAAATATAACATAAATTTAACTAAAATGTTAGTAAACTTCACATATATAGAAGTAAAAAAATAAAATAAGATAATTACAAGAAAAAATACATGCCAGACAGAATAGAATATATGTATTATAAGAGAGGGAAGAAGAAAAGAGAGAAACTATCCTTGGAGGATTCTAACACAAAACCTCAAGCTTCTCACAAAGAGGACTATTCAAGCATTATCAGAAGAGAAAAACATAACTTCTCAGATATAGCACAACTCACATCAACAGCTAAAAAGACTTACCAATATAGAGACAACGCATTACCCCAAAAAACCCAACATAATTTTTTTTTTTTCATAGCCCCTCTATACTTATTTTTGTCTTTAATCCTTGGATTGTCTTAATAATACACCTTTTACTGCTTAAAAGCATTGTAAGGTTTATTTTTAGATTTAATTTTCGTTTGTTTGTTTTGCTCATTTAAATTAATTCACACAACATCAAATTATCGAGAAGTTATAAAAACGGCCATATCCAATTTAAGACATTTTTTTTAGCAAGCAAGATCTATTCATCATAGAAAAAAAAAACTACATTAATGTAGTTTTTCATTTAAATTTTATTTGGATATCAATAACTAATTAGATTGAATTAAATAATAAAAGCTTGTTAGTTATTTACCAAATTAAATTGGAAGTGGTCTTCTCAGTAATGAAAACTTTATTTAGTGATGAAACTGTATAGCTTGTACTCCAGGTTACAACAACAACAAAGTTCTAAAGTTTCATATAAAACAACGATTTATTGGATCTGCAGAACGTGTGGCCTTTGAAAACAAAGGCGAAATCACAATGACACTCTTTAAAAACCTTTTTTTTTAGATTCACAGGATCCTAAAACGAGTGTAAATCGAGCCCTCCCCTTGTGTTAGGAAGCCGGAAAGTAATAAACTAGAGGGTAAATAAAAAAAGTAATCGTTATAAAAAGGTACGGATAAGAGACATGGCCTATATGGCACTAACTGGGTACCTGTAACTGTTCCCTAGAGGAGCTCGTAACCATGGCTATAACCATTTGCATTGATTTTATCGCTATCTTGTCATCTTCACCGTCAGGTCTGACTCCTACGCCTCTATAACTGGATCGCAAGTATCAACTACAACTCCTCTTGAACATGAAATAACGTGTTTATTTCTCATATACAGTACAGATGAAAATTAACGGTCACAGATTGGAAAAATCGGAACCAACGATTACTTAAGCTTTTCAGTTGACAGAATGACTAACTCCAATATCAATATTTCTGAATATCATTTTTATATCTGGTAATTTAGTCACGTTTTTGCTATATTTACAGTGCTATTTTATGAAGTATAAAAGTAAGTTTTAGTTGTTTATATGTGAGCCTTTTAATTGACAGAACGTCTAACTTCAATTTCAACATTTGTGAGTAAAGTGATTATTATGATATTTCTAATAGAAAAATTTATAACTTTATTCTCAGTTTTATATTTCAACACTGCAATTAACTTACTCACTGTCTGTACACATATTATAAATTTTACAACTAGAAATATCACAATAATCACTTTACTCACAAATGTTGAAATTGAAGTTAGACGTTCAGTCAATTAAAAGGCTCACATATTAACAACTAAAACTAAAACTTACTTTTATACTTCATAAAATAGCACTGTAAACATAGCAAAAACGTGACTAAATTACCAGATTAGAATCAAAATAGGAAATCTGATTACGATTGTAATAATCAAACTAGTGATCCAGGTTTTCTTGTGGACATTTATGATTTTGTTTTTGTAGATTGATGTTTGTTTGACTGTATTGAATAATGGTCGGGGTGATCAGTAAAAAAAATTTTTTTTTGTAAAAAAAATAACCTTAATCTCCTCTTCAATTTCGTTTTTTCTAGTTATCGTAGACCCTAGATACTTAAACTTCTCAACCTGTTCAAAGTTGTTAACTTCTATATCAATATCACCAGCGATATCGCCATACTTTTGATACTAAAACTGTTAATTTAACTGCTTGCTACCAGTCGCTTGACAAACCTCATAAAACTGCTATAAAAGTCCCAAGCAAGCCCATGACGATATATCGCCAATCGACATTTAGTTGTTTAAAGTAAACTTCAATTTTACACATTAGTAATAGTCAATTTGGTAATTTATCATTCCCAAACTGGGTTGTAATATTTTACAGCTAAAGAAACTCAAATTAAATGAATTATGAAAGTTTGCATAACGAGTTCAGTGGAACTTTTCTAATTAACGATTTTTACATAATTTTACCTTTAAGAATTTTAAATGAGCTGATCACCACAAGGACAGAAATGGTAGAGCTTAATGGACAGTATTAAATTAGGGACCCTCGATGATAAAGGAAGCATTGAAAAATACATTACAATATGTTTATAAAAAGAAAACAATATGAGATAAACGAAATATTAAGAAAATCCCATTTAATACAATAAAAACCTGACAAACAGAGAAAGTACGTCAATCAATTTATAAAAAGTTTAAGAGCTGGAGATAAATTTTAGGAAAATAGGAAGGAATTCGTAAAATAAACACAAGTCCAACGCTGCGATTCAAACAACTCAACACCCGTCAAGGTTGTTTACTAAACAGTCCGGCGCTAAATTTGAATGTACTCAACTGTAAATATTGCGCCTTCATTAGGAAACCTATAAACATCCCACTACCTAACAAATTCCTCAACAAAATCTTTAACAAATTCCTCAACGGAATCAGCTTCAGGCGATATTTGTCGAAATCATAAAAACAAGTGGATTTCACAGTCAATGAGTCACCGATTATTTTATTTATTTTTTTTCGGTGATACTACATCGAAAAATATTAGACACATGTTCCGGCGTTCGTTTCAATGGGATCTAAAAGCCGAGAAAAAAATATATTATATTTAGTTTTCAAAAATATTTATGTTATTTACATTGGCCCACTAGCGGATTCAGGATTTAATTTTGAGGAGGGGAGGGGGGAGGGCTTCAGCCCCCTATTATATTTTTTCATATATATGTAACGATAATTACTTTGAAAAAACAGAAAGATACTAACTACCTATATAAAATGGTGTTTAAGTGATTCTTGAAGTCCTATTAAATGTACTTAATAATACTTTACGAGCAATAATACTTTAAGACATAATTTTTTAATATTTTTTACTGTAAAACATGGTTACATTTTACCATTTGGGGGGGCTTCAGCTCAAAAGCCCCCCTAATCCGCCTAGTACACACGGATTTTTAGGTTATTACATACTAATCGATATATGTTTTTTTGCAGAATAAGAGAAAAATATTGACAATCATATTAAATGAGTTATAACGTATCATAAATTACAAAAACCAAAACGAGCTTTCAGTGCGGTAGACCATGTAAATTTTTTAAATGAAAAATCATGTTAGATCTGATTTTAAGAGCCCTTTTAAATTCTTAAATACTAATTTTAAAAGAAATTTCGAATTTCCTGAAGGATTTTTTTCCATCCGTTAACTAAAGTATTCATAACATCTTAGAATTTCCTCGAAATACAACGTTAGTATATTGTAACTTACTTTGATAAGTTGAAACACTGTTTTTCCAACCTATATCAATAAATAACTTATGGCTTTCATTCCTTTTTGAAGTTAGGAATTAACAAAAATCTCTCGGAAATTATTATTATTTTATGTTGGGTTCTTTTTTACTTACTTATATTTTTACTTTTTTTGGTTCCGGAGATAGGGTTTGTCTCATTTCGCGTAGCAACTAGAGGCCTGAATACTATATAAGTTTCGTGGGGATCTGTGGAGTCGTCCTGATGTTTTGTCAGTACAATGGTTGAAGTCAGAGTTTTAATTCAAAGCGGACAAAAAATTTTAATTTTCCAATATCTATAAAAATTCATATTTAAGCGTTTTTGAGGCGCGGAAAACGAATAACAACTTCGTTTCACCCTAAACTAGTAATCTATTCCTGAACGTTAGGTCGAATGTTAACACAACATGAATACACACTAGTTCATGCTATTGAATTACACTGTCCATCACTTTACTAATATCATACTAGCTAGGACGTGCTGCTATCTGCGATTGATACTGAGAAATACCGAATTTGACATCTTCCTCCTTTCGTCATCTTACCCCGCCTTCTCCAACAAATTGACGACTATAACTATAAGAGAAAATCGATAAGACAAAAAATGCATGAAAACGGTAAAAAAGATAAACTGGGA